GGGAATTTTCAGCACAGTTGTTAAAGTTAGTTCATCACTTCACCCTCTCTATCAATCAATAATTTTATTTTTTATTTTAAAAATTTCACTAAATAAGAGGAGAGATTTATGGATTTGACTGTTTTTTGTCTATTTGCTGAATAAGACGTGACTATTTTATTATTATTATTATAAGATAATAATATTGGCAACTTCCTATAACAGGTTAAAACGACATGATTTTATTTTCTTTGGTGCAAATTGCTTACATAAATTTTATTTCATTCTCACTGCAAACTAATTCAGAACTAATAAACGACAATTGATTAATTTTTTTTCTCTTTTCATACGTTCTCTATCTCACAAAAATAAAATTACTTTATTATTCTTTCGCTCAAAATTGTATTTCTATTTTCTATTTTAGAAGAAAATAATTTTATAATTTTCTATTTTACTCTTATTTAATGTTTTTTTATTAATAAATATATTATTATTGCTTAATCAAATGTTGAAATAATTAAATATTTTAATATGGACCTTCTATGTTCTTATATTGGAAAAATATTATAAGATTATATTACGCAAAAATTATGATTTAAATATATTAAAATTTTAATTCATATAAACATATTTTAATGAGATGAAAGGAGAATCAATTTGTTCTTTTAAAAAATAGATTATCAAATTTTTTATTTTTAATCTCTTAAAAGTAGGAGATAAACTATTGACTGTTTATCTAAATTGTAATATTTGCTATCACATTTCATTATAGGTGGAAATAATTCTAATAACCCTTCTAAAAGAAAAAGGATATAATTTTGATAATCAAAATACGTATGTATTAGTTGTAACTTTAAATAGCTTTAATTATTAAATCAATATAAGTACAATATTTGTTTAATTTCATAATCTTTTTAGTGTTACTCTAAATTAGAAATTCTGTAATTTTTATTCTCTTCTCAAAATGCTAGGGCAAAAAATGGAGTCCAAATCTTATCCCGACGGGTATATAGTCACATCTTAATCTCACTTTTTGGAACATGATGGAAAATGGAATAGAATAAAATAAAAATTTAGATCCATTAAGACCGAATAAAATGGGTTAATAAAAATCAATTAAGGTTTTCCATATTTTGTTAAATTGTTTTTTACCAAAGAAGATAAATTGTTATATATAATTATCAATTTCAATCAAACAAAATTCATTAATAGAAATTTCATTTAAAAAATGAAGTTCTCTTCCTCTTTTCTCTCTGCTTTATCTAACCCTAATTTTTGTTTGGAGTTGCCGTTGTTATGTTAATTAGCAGTAGCCCCTTACTTTTCTTTTTTCTTCTCGCTCCTAATCTTTTATTCGTTTTTAATAAACTCATATCTATTTTCTTTTAATAGATATTTTTTTTCTATGTTTTTTTTAATTGTTGTTGCTTTGTCTCCATATTTGGAGTTCTTTTTTTTTTCTATGTTTTTTTTAATTGTTGTTGCTTTGTCTCCATATTTGGAGTTCTTTTGTTCCTTCTTTTATGAGGGTTTAGTTCTTTATTTGTGAAAGTTTGTTCTTAAAAGTTATGATATTTGATTTTATTTCGTTAGAGAATTTAGATTTTGTTTTATTGATGTATATCTTCGATCAATGGAGCCTGGTAGTGCAGCATGTTCCTCCATTGATGCTATTAACACATAGTGACTTTAATTCATTCGTGTATGTCATATGCAACAAAATTTTTGAAAAAGCAATCTAAGCATAGAAGATCTGGAGAAATTATTTTGTCATCCAAATCAATTAAAGGACCAGTTGCTACTATAAAAATTTATATCAGTTAAGGTTATCTTCAAACAGAAAAATTCAATATTGTTTCTTTTAATTTTATTTTTATTATTCAAAAGAATATAGATAATTCTTTTATTGTTGAAGGATCAGTGAACTTTCTATTAATTATGATAGTAAATTCTATGTATGGTCTAATTGAGTATTTGTAATACTTGATTTTATTATTAATGAATTATATTTCAAAGAGAACCAAATAATTAAACTATTAATCCACTATTGAATTCATAATAGGAGGTTTATTAGTTGTTGTTTGTTAATTACGAAAGCATTAAACATAATACAATAAAATAATTCCGAGTAATCAAAACAATTTAATTCAATATATATCTTATGAATTTTAACTCGTTATTATTTTTTTACTATTGCCCTTCACTTAAATCAAATTTTGATGGCTATTTGATTTCATCCCTAACAATATCTTAAAATAAAACAATGAAAGCTTTAAATATAGCCAAGAATTAGATTAATTCCTGTTATTGTCTTCTCTTGTATTGATTAATCTTTCCATTTGCTATAAAAAAAAAAAAATTATTCTTAGAGATTTACTTAACATACAAAGTAGAATAATAAAGGAAAATTTTATATTGAAAGTTTTGATTAATTAGTTGATCCATATCTTTTTTTTTTTTTTTTTTATTGATCCATATCTTTTTTTCTTTTTTTTTTTTTTTTTCATTTGAATATTACTTGCCAAATAATTGGTGTCATAAGAAAACTAAAAATAAAAGAACGAGTGTTATTTTCATAGATATATTTGAGATTCTTAAAAGAAAAAAAAAAAAAAAACCCTTGGAATAATTTGTAAATAGATGGGACCCGAATACTCCATTTTTAGACAAGACGAGTAATGTTAAAGTATATATTTTTATTTTCAATGTTTAGTTATTTTATTTCTTTGCACTTTTAAATAAAATTCTATTGGTATACTTATCGTGAAGATACTTTTATTCATAGCCTTAAAATATCAAAACAAATTAAACATAAAAATTTATATAAAAAATTTTGATCACAATTAAATATTAACAATTAACAAGTACAAACAATATGTAACGCATATTTATAATAACTTAACATAAAATCAATTAAAAGATTAACTATATATTTAATTAACTTTAAATATAAAGAAAGGGAAAAAGATTTAGATTCTAGAATTTTGTACCGTAAAAGATTGTATATGGATGCTTTAATAAGATGCACCAATGATCATTTACATAAAAAAAAAAAAAAAATTAAAAAAAAAAAAAAATTAAGGATTTAAAATTATTAATAAATAATTTTTTTAATCAAGTACCAATTATATATATATATATATCTATATTATTGTTTTATTCAAATAACCATTGTATTTTTTTAATCTCCATATATCATTACGATTTTAGATTTTAGTAATTACAAAATATTTTATAATATTATAAAATAAAAGTTAAAAAGTTTAGGTTTTTGTACATTTCAATTTTATAACTTTGTGTTAGTTTGCTTTGCTGGGATTCAATACTATATAAATATATATATTGCAAAATTTTTTGAAAGAATTTACGATGCATACAAAAGATTATTTTTATTTAAATATTATTTTTTATTTTTTACTATATAATAAAATACCTAGTATGAAAGATTTTCCTTTTACCATTTTATAGAGACAAGTTATAACTTATAACTAAAATTTAAAATATAATATAAAATCCCATCAAAATATATAATTTTGTAAAACTATTGCTGCTGCTACTACTAGGTACTAGCTAAATGGCATTTTATGATTCAATTTAGAGAATTCATACAAACAAAATTGATAATTAGGATTGAAAATTCTAGCCAATTAAATCTATAAATGTAGTTTAATTTAGTTGGCGGTTTAAGAGTGATTTAGAAGTCCTTATTGTTATTGAAAAAATAATAAAAAATAAATCAACATCAGTAATATTTTATGAATAAATTTTAATTGTTAATTTATTAATATGTGTAAGAAATACATAAAATTTCAAGTGTAAAAACTTAATCATTCAACATAATATTCTTTATACAGAAAATTAGTACTCCCGAAAAAATAATTATTTTCTATTTTTACACAGATTAAAAAATAACAATTATTATGACTAAAATACAATTTTATTCATATAACGTTTTTATTATGTTTATCTTAAATAACACATGAACAATTATTATATTTGAATAGTAAGTGAGGATTAACAAGGGTTATTGAAAATAAGATAAAATTTAATGAGTATATTAGACAATTTAAGGATTAACTATAATGCAAAAAAAGAAAGTAAACTATATTTTGGGACAAAAAAAAAAAAAAAAGTAAACTATAATTTGGGAAAAAAAAAAAAAAAAAAGGGACAGAGAGAGTACATATTTACGTTTGGTTATGTTGAATTAAATAAGTTTGAACTTAATCTTATAAATTCAACTCAAATCTTAATATTTTTATTTTTTTAAATTAAATCAAACAATTAATTTTTTAAAATCAAAATTTTAAATATTTGGAAAAGATTTACCGATACCCGACATATATACCAATTGAATATATTTTCAAATCAATCAAATTTTTTATTTAAATGAAAATATTTCTTACCATTTACCGATAAAAAAATAAAAAAACTATAATATTTAAAAAAATTATTTTTAATGAGCTTAATATATGGGTGGTCGATATAAAGTTTATTTATAACGGTTGATGAAACCCCTCTAACAAAACCTCTTATTTAAGGTTCTTACAGATAAAATAAGTTCTCTTTTTTTCGAATTTCTCAAAAAAAAAAAAAAAAAAAAAAAAAAAAAAAAAGGAAAAAATTCTCCAGACAACTGGTAGCTTAAATAAAATCACAAATGTCCAACTACTTCCTTTGCTGTCCTAACACAACCCAGCAGAACCAACCAACCTTAGCTGTTTCCTCCGCGAAGGAAGGAAAAAAAGAACGAAAAGCAGGGAGAGAGAGAGAGCAAAGCCGGAAAAGGACCTACCACAGGTACATTCCTTTCTAAAACCTAAGAAAAACAGGCCGTGGGACCTCTCTCTCTCTGTCCGGTCTTCTACTTCCCCTTTCTCTTCCTCAGCCGCCACCCGCCATGCTTCATTCCCTCCTCTTCTTCTTCCTCCTCATTTCCACATCAAAAAAAAAAAAAAAAAAAAAAAAAAGGAAAAAATTTCCAGACATGGTAGTAAATAAAAATCACAAATTGTCCAATACTTCTTTGCTGTCTAACACAACCCACAGAACCAACCAACTTAGCTGTTTCCTCTGCGAAGGAAGGAAAAAGAAGAAAGAGAGGGAGAGAGAGAGAGAAAGCGGAAAGGACCTACAAGTAATCCTTTCTAAAACCTAAGAAACAGGCGTTGGACTCTCTCTCTCTCCGTCTCTACTTCCCCTTTCTCTCCTCAGGCCACCGCCATGCTTCATTCCCTCCTCTTCTTCTTCCTCCTCATTTCCACATCTGCTGCTGACGACGGTGCCGTCGTGCTTAAACTCGCCGGCTCCTTGTCTCCTTTGCCTTCTGGTTGGTCGACGACGTCATCCTCCGGCTTCTGTAGCTGGAGTGGTATAAAATGTGAGTCTAACAGAGTCACCTCTATTTCTCTTCCAAATCAAGATCTCGACGGAACTCTTCCACCGGAGCTCTCTACCTTAACTCAGCTCAAGACACTCGCTCTCCAAAACAACCGTCTTGCTGGTGATCTTCCACTGCTTGCTAATCTCTCTAATTTGGCAAGTATTTTTTTGGATTTCAATAATTTCACTTCTATTCCTTCTGGATTCTTTAAAGGCCTTACCAGTTTGCAAGAGTTAAGTCTTGGAAATAATGTTAATCTTGCTCCCTGGCAACTTCCTGCCGATCTTGCTGAATTAACTGCTCTTAAAAACATAACAGCAAACCAAGCAAACATCTACGGCTCCATTCCTGATATTTTTGGATCCTTGATTAGTTTGCAGAATTTAAGGTTGAGTTACAATAATTTGACAGGTTCTTTGCCTCAGTCCTTGGCAAATTCTAACATTCAGAACTTATGGCTGAATAATCAGCAAATGGGTTTATCAGGTACTATTGATGTGTTATCAAAAATGACTCAGTTGTCTCAGGTATGGCTGCAGAAGAATCAGTTTACTGGTCCGATTCCAGATTTGTCTAAATGTGATAACCTATTTGATTTGCAGTTGAGGGATAATCAATTTACTGGTGTAGTACCAACTTCTTTGGCTTCTCTTCCTAAATTACTCAATATTTCTTTGTCAAATAACAAATTGCAGGGTCCTTCACCTGCTTTTAGCTCCTCTGTTAAGGTTTCTAATGATGGAAAAAACAATTACTGTACGGTTTCTGGTAAGGCTTGTGATTTACAAGTGACTCTATTGCTCGAAGTTGCTGAAGGTTTTGGTTATCCAGTGAAACTTTCTGATGATTGGGTAGGGAATGATGCTTGTTCTGGATGGGACTTCGTTAATTGTGATCCGCAGGACAAGGTTATCACTGTTAATTTGGCAAAGCAGGGTCTTACAGGAACTATTTCACCTGCATTTGCCAATCTCACTTCTTTGAAGAATTTATATTTGAATGGGAATAACTTGAATGGTACAATTCCTACTAGCTTGACCCAACTTACACAACTTCAAACACTTGATGTTTCTGGGAATAACCTATCTGGAAAAGTTCCGGTCTTCCGAACCTCAGTGAAGTTGATCACCAAACCTGGAAACAGTCTACTGGGGAAGGACATAAATACAGGTGGAGGTCCGGGATCATCTGACACAAGTGGTAGTGCACCAAGTGGGAGCACATCTCCATCAGGTTCAGGAAAAGGGTCTGGGATATCTGGAGGTATTATTGCCGGCATTGTTATAGCTATCGTCATTTTTGTTGCTGTTTTAACATTTGTGTTGTGTAAATATAAGAAAAGGCGTGGGAGATATGGGAATATGGAGAAAGAAGAGAGTGTTAAGTCAAATGGTAAGAACGAAGGACCAAGTGGGGTTAATGGATATAATGGGCTGCCTACTGAATTACATAGCCAGAGTAGTGGTGGTGATAGTGGCCATAAGATGTTTGAGGGTGGAAATGTTGTAGTGTCAATTGAAGTTCTTAGACAAGTTACTGATAACTTTAGTGAGAGTAATATTATAGGAAGAGGTGGTTTTGGAGTAGTGTATAAAGGAGAGTTGCATGATGGGACTAAGATTGCTGTAAAGAGGATGGAATCCACAGTGATGGGCACCAAAGGTATGAATGAGTTTCAGGCAGAGATTGCTGTGCTTTCAAAGGTTAGACATAGGCATCTGGTTGCTCTTTTAGGTTATTGTGTCAATGGCCGTGAAAGACTTTTGGTCTACGAGTATATGCCGCGTGGAACTTTAGGGCAGCATTTGTTTGAATGGCAAGAACATGGCTACCCTCCACTTACGTGGAAGCAAAGGGTTACCATTGCACTAGATGTGGCAAGAGGAGTTGAGTATCTGCATAGTTTAGCTCAGCAAAGTTTCATTCACAGAGATTTGAAACCTACAAACATTCTTCTTGGGGATGACATGAGAGCCAAAGTGGCAGATTTTGGTTTGGTTAGAAATGCACCTGATGGGAAGTATTCCGTGGAAACACGACTGGCAGGCACCTTTGGCTATCTTGCACCTGAGTATGCTGGTAAGTAAATTATGTTGTATATTTATTCTAGCAATTACGCCATTTGCCTGATCTTATTATGCATTGGCAATTTCTTCACGTACAATCACTATTGTTGCGATATTTTAACATTCTAGAAACTGAGGAAGCCTAGAGTTTAGAGCTAACATTTTTATGACAAACATAAATATCTCCAAGTATAGGTCTTTAGCAATTAGTATCATTTTAGAGAATCTTTATAGGTGTTATCTAGAGAACGATTTTCATCAGATTTCCTTTCTTTCTCAAGATTTCTTCTTTCTTTTCTTCATGTGAGAACTCTTGCAGTTATCATCATATTATGTTTTCGTGAAATGCCTGAGGCTATTAGAATGTATATCTTTCTTCTGGGGGTGTAATGAACTGAAGATCACATACGGTTTAATTTATTTTGCCTGTGAACTTGTCTGCACATATGTTTAATTCTCAATACTTAACATACTTTTTCTTCGTATGTGATGAATTTGAACATGCTTTCATGTACTTATTTTTGGATGAAAAGTTAGTTACTTCATTCTGATGAAGCAGTATCCCTTTTTGCTTATTGTCAGCTACTGGAAGGGTGACAACAAAGGTGGATGTTTATGCCTTTGGAGTTGTTCTGATGGAGATGATAACCGGCAGAAAAGCTCTAGAGGACTCCCTGGGGGATGAGAAATCTCATCTGGTTTCATGGTTCCGCAGGGTCCTAATCAACAAGGACAACATCCCAATGGCAATTGATCGGACTCTCAACCTGGATGAAGAGACACTAGCCAGCATTTACAGAGTGGCTGAGTTAGCAGGACATTGCACTGCACGTGAGCCATACCAAAGACCTGACATGGGGCATGCAGTTAATGTCTTGGGGCCTCTTGTAGAGCAATGGAGACCTACTAGCCGAGAAGAAGATGAAGGTTATGGCATCGACCTCCATCTGAGCCTTCCACAAGCTCTTCAAAGATGGCAAGCTGATGAAAGTTCTTCCTCAATGTTTAATGACTCATCCTACTCTCAGACCCAGTCAAGCATTCCTGCAAGGCCTGCAGGCTTTGCAGAGTCATTTAATTCAACTGATCTACGATAACATGCGGAGAACATCAAGAGAACATCAAGAATCTTTTTTTAAATTGAGATTGAAGGAAAGGTAAAGAATGAGGGGGGATTTTCACCTGCAATCATCACAAGTTTATCAAGGTATCATTGTATGTATTCATTTTGCTTGTTTCTTTCATGACCTTAAATTCTTAATTGGACAAAAGCTGAGCAGTGGAGCTATAAGTTCTTTTTACTGGATTAATTGTTCCTAACCTATCGAATTGGTTATTGATGGATTACAAAAGGCGGGGTCTTCCTCTTTTTTTCTATGTTTTTTCTCCTGTGGGTGAAAGAGGCAGGGGGTGGGGTTGGAAGGAAGGAGTAAAAGAGCAAGGATGTATAATATTATTGGATCTTGCTTACATTATTAATGTTATGGTTTTGGTCAATTATCTCTAGCGGATGGAAATCTTTATTTGTTTTTTTATTTTTTATTTTTTGGTTCTGTTTGATATTGCCATTTGGACTGCTGTTGAGGAAAAAATTGTATTGAAAAGTGTTCATAAGAGGTCATTGAATTTCTTTTTTTAAGGTGAATTTACATTTCCAGTGATAAAAATTTTGAAATAGCTTGTCCATACTCTCATACTGCAAGGGTATTGACGTATTGTTCAACCTCAATGGTCAATTCTTATATTTTTCATTCGACAGTCAATCCACCAAATATCTATTTGGGAATGATTTTCAAAGGCTTGTGAAACGTGGGATGAGTTCGTTAGCAATATATATTTTTTTTGTCTTTATAATGGCTTATAAAAACAAATTGATGTGGATGTATGTGCCAATCTGGCATTAGTTGACAATGAGATGGATATTAGCTGGAAGAGTGAGATATGTTTTGTGCCGTGTCTGTTATAATATTGTGAGTGAGTTTGGTGCTGGAAGGCATTTTAGTTGCGAATAGAAGACCGACTTTCCTACTGCTGCAACATGTTGCAAGAATCTTTGTCAAACCTCCTTCTGTTTTTCTTTCTTGCCCAATTCCTTTTGCCTTTTTCCTTCAAGTTTGACAGATTTAGCTTATTAAAAAAAAAAATAATAAATAAATAAATAAAGAGAACCAGAGTGGGTCGTGCGGTTGCTTAATTTAAGTTTACATGATGTTTTTTTATTTATTTATTACATGTTTATGTTTTTACTTGTTATATTTATTATTACATGTAGATTTAATGTTTGTTATTGTTGCATATTTTTAGTTTTTTGTTTATTAGAAACAGAACAATCTTCACTTGTTTCTCTAAAGCTGATCTATTCTTTTTCCTGAGATTTTTAATTTTCTTCACTCCAGATGTTAACATTTTTTTCAATTATCATATCTCTTCCTTAATCATTGAATAAAAGTATTAAAAATTCAAAAGTTTGAGAATAAAATAATTTCAATGCTCCATAAGTGTATCCTCTTATGCATCGTGTTAAATATTGATTTTGCTGTCAAGGAGCTTGGCCTTGAAGTGGGCTTCTTCAGGTTGCGCTCTTGCTATCATGGATTGAGGATTGCAACTCCGTGACCCCACAGGAAGGGGGTAGGGTCTCCCATAAGTGCTGGAGAGATCGATGCGCCCTATGAAGGTGTCTTAAATCGGGACGTCAATATCTAAACAATGACCCGACACAATTAATAGTCCTTTTTTTTGTTAAAAAATAGAATAAAATAATAATAATAGTAATTTGTAGTTCGATTTTTAAATTTCAAAGTTACTATCTCCGGTTTTATAGTAACCTTGATTATTAAGTATAGAAAAAAAAAAAAAAAAAATAACAATAAGTTTTCAATGCCTCCATAAGTGTATCCTCTCTATGCATCGTGTTACAATAGTTGATTTATGCTGTCAACGGAGCTGGCCTTGAAGTGCGGCGCTCTCTTCAGGTTGCGGCTCTTCGCTACTCATGGTATTGCAGGATTGCAAACTCCGTCGACCCCCACAGGAACGGGGGCTCAGGCGTCTCCCCATTAAGTGCTGGGAGAGATCGACTGCGCCCTATGAAGGTGTCTCTAACAATCGGACGTCAACTATCCATGAAACAATGACCCGACACCAATTAATAGTCTTTCCTTTGTTGCTTAAAAAATAGAATAAAATAATAATAATAGTAATTTGTAGTTCGGCATTTATCTCAAATTTCAAAGTTTACTATCTCCGGCGGTCTTTCTATAGCCTAACCTTGATTATTAAGTATCAGAAAAAACAAAAAAAAAACAAGTAAGAAGTAGTGCTTTATAAGTGAACTATACAAAAAAAAATGCGCACACCAAGACATCTGTTAATCTAGCTGGTTAAAGTGGGCGCGACCGATGGCAGCAAGCGGAAGGGGCCACGAGGTGAAACTACATTAGAGCTTAACAATGATGTTCAGGGCTCCAAATCTCCTTTTCAATCACTAAAAAAAAAGAAGCTTATTTAAAACAATCATCTGTAACAGAATTTTTAACAAAAGACTGAGCACTTACAAAAAAAAAAAAAAAAAAGTAAGAGTAGTGCTTTATTAAGTATATAAAAAAAATGGCACACCAAGACATAATCTAGTGGTAAAGTGGTAACTACATTAGACTTAACAATAGATGTAGGCTCAAATCTCCTTTTCAATACTAAAAAAAAGTTATTTAAAAACAATGTAACAGAATTTTAACGAAAATGAGATTAATGTCCGAGTAATTTGAGTGAACAAATGACAATAGATTATATACAAAGAGAAAATAATGAACAATAAAATTTTATCATGACGACTTCTATAAAAAAAGGAGAAAAAAGAAGAATATAAATTAAAATATAAAAAATATTTGAAAAACAGTTTTCTAAAAAGTTAAAATACATTAACATGTTAACATGTTTTTTTCTAAGAACAGAAAATAAAAACTAAAAACTTAGGGATGGAAGCAGTGCATGAGTACTCACCCTGTTCCGATTTGTACGAGGATATAATAATTATAAATGGGTTTGAAATAAATATAAATAGTGAAATTATTAAAAAATATTTAAATAAGTTAGAATTTAATTAGTTTAAAATTTGAGAATGTCGTATTTATATTTGAAAATTTATGGATACCCACCTGTTTCCATCTTAAATGGAATACCCATCCGCTTCTATCTTAAATGGAACGGGGATGGATATTCACGAGTTTTGAGTTCAGAAATAAGTACCAAATGGATTTGAAATAGATAAAAATATTAAAATTATAACAAATATGAATATGGATAGCTTAAAATTAACTATACCTACCGTGCACAAGGTATAGTTTAATGGTAACTATAAATACGACTTGACAATAGATTAAGGTTCAAATTTTCTTCCCAATACTCGACAAAGAACATCTAGAAAATTTTAAAACTTGATAGCTATTTAGGAAGACGAAGGGGAAGTAGAGATTTTTTTCTTTTTAGATTGAAAGCAAAAATTGTTAATGAAGGGCAAACATGTATTTTTCTTAGGTTTTTGTTTACAAATGATTCTTCTTGGAGCTTGTTAGCATAGATTCCATAAAATACTTTAAAATTCACTTACATATTCAAATTACCATGTTTGGCATAAATGAAAAGTTATTTAAAATTCTATAGTTTTAATTTTTTAGAATTGATTATGCTTAATCAAATTTAGTTAGAATTGATTTGCAAATAACTCTAAATCTCAAGAGTACAGTTTTTTTTGAAATCAGTAGCTTTTAAGTACAAGTGAGTAAAATTAATTATATGAAATTCACTTTCTTTTTTTATTTTTACAAGTATCCTCACATCCTTTTAGATACGAGAGTAATCTTTTTTCAGGGTCTATAACTATCTTTTCCTTAAAGTATTTTTTCACAGATCAAATCCCTGATATTACAGAGATCGTTTTTTGAATTCAAACATATTTAACCATTTAAGCCACTTCTCACGGATTATATGAAATTCATTTCGATGGAATTCATTTCATTTTAAATAAGTACATATTAATCTATAAGGAATTCATTTTATTTTAAATAAATTTATATTTTAAAATGAATTAGATAGTTTATTTAAATATGAAAATCTATTTACGATAATTCTTTTTTATAAAATTTAGTTTAATATAAATTTATTTCAAACACTGCTTTGTCAAACACTGCCTTAATAAAATTTTTCATTCTTGAAAGAAAGAAAGAAATGAATGTTATATAAATTTATTTTAAACATGCTATAACGTAGCCTTTTTGACGTCTACCTAAGAGCCTTTACAAGTTATAACTAATTAACTACCATGCTCCATGCTTTTACCTTATAAGCTTTATCTTTTCACTTGTCAAATGACTATGTACATATGCATGTCTGTCTTTTATAATTATGAGCAAAGGAATCTTAGTTTTAATTATGACATTCTTACAAAGAATGCTTGGCTAATTAAAGAAAGCTTCTTGAAATTTAGGTTTGCAATCTATCTACTCCTTCAAACCCTATAAGAATATATCATACATGTACAGTTAATAAGTGCGAATTCAAGTAAGAGCTCACTAATCTAAGGCTGGAGAGAAATGCCGACAAGCGGTATTGGTGGTAGCAGCGACGACGGCCACGGCCACGGCGGTTTTGCTGCTACTGTGTTTCTTTTCTTATTTCTTCTTGCTTTCTCCGGTAAGATTTTCTGAGCCAAATATTTGAAGAGTATTTTGTTGAAGGAAAAAAAAAAACTATGAAAAGTATTTAGGGAAAGTTATTTTCCTTTATTTAGAAAAGGACAGGATAACATCGAATGAAGTAATATTTCACTTATTTTCTACTTGATCTCATATGTTTTGAATTTCTCAAAGAGAAATAATGAAGGAAAGTGAAAATTTCACCATTTTTATTAAATTACCCAAATGCCCTTATTAATTAATGAATTTTAGTCTTTTTAAATAGTCTATTATTTAAATGAGTACATAATTGTCAATTTTTCAATAATAACATTTTATTTCCTCTAAAATTTTACTCTTCCAAATGAAGAAAATTAATTTTATTTTCTTTCTTTTATTATTTCCAAACACAAGGATGAAAAATAACTATAGAAAAAAATTAGCAATTTCTCATTATTTTCCTCTATTATTATCATTTTTCCTTTAATATTTTCTTTCCCCTCCTTTCCAAACAAAGGGTTAGATTTGGTAACAATAGTCTCAAAGATTCAGAGACAACACCAAATGCTTTAGCTTTCCCTATTTCTTTCTTGACTAATCACCCTCACAACAATAACAGATGCACAAGTTTCAGGCAAGATGGGCATAAACTATGGGCAACTAGGGAGCAACTTACCATCACCTTATCAATCTATCCAAATTCTCAAATCCATAAATGCAAGCCGTGTGAAGCTCTACAATGCAGACCCAGAAATCTTGAGACTCTTAGCAGGTTCCAAGATTCAGGTATCCATTATGGTCCCAAATCAAGAAATCATCAGGATTGCCTCAGACCAGACCTTAGCCAACCAATGGGTCCGACAAAATGTTCTCCAATATTATCCAAATACTATGATCAGATTCATTCTTGTTGGAAATGAAATATTCAGTTCTGTCTCAGTCCAAGAACAGAACTATGTCTGGCCTAATCTTGTCCCTGCAATGAGAAACATCAAGAACTCACTCAAAATTCACAACATTAAAAATATCAAAGTTGGTACTCCATTATCTATGGATATACTCCAAACAACATTTCCACCATCAAATGGGACATTCAGAACAAATGTTTCAATTTTGCCACCTTTGTTGAAATTCTTGAATGGTACTAAATCTTATTTCTTTATTGATGTTTACCCTTATTTCTCATATTCTGCTGATCCCACAAGTACAAGCCTTGAGTTTTGTTTGTTCAGATCAAGAGAAAGCTACACTGACCCTGCAAATGGGTTAGTCTATAGTAACATGTTAGACCAAATGTTGGATTCTGTCATTTTTGCTATGTCTAAATTAGGATACCCAAATATCCAATTAGCTATATCAGAAACTGGGTGGCCTTCAGGTGGTGATATAGATCAAGCTGGTGCTAATATTCACAATGCAGCAACTTATAATAGGAATTTAGTTAAAAAAATGACTGCCAACCCTCCAATGGGGACACCAGCTAGACCAGGTACGATGATACCAACATTTATTTTCTCGTTATATAATGAAAACAGAAAAGATGGCCCTGGAACAGAAAGGCACTGGGGTGTGTTTAATGAAAATGGGAAGGCTATTTATGACATTGATTTAAGTGGGCAAAGACAAGAATCTGAGTATGAGCCATTGCCTGAAGGAATTAATAACAGGCCTTATAAAGGGAAGCTGTGGTGTGTAGTAAGAAGAGAGGCTGGTTTAATGGAGGTTGAAAGGGAATTAAGCACTGTTTGCAGTCAAGGGAATGAGACATGTGAAGCTTTGGCTCCTGGAAATGATTGCTATGAGCCAATTTCTGTGATTTGGCATGCAAGTTATGCTTTTAGCTCTTATTGGGCTCAATTCAGGAGTCAAGGTGCTAGTTGCTACTTCAATGGACTTGCAAAGCAGACCACCACAGATCCTAGTGAGCTTTATGACTTTTTATTTATTTATTTTTGACTGAATACAAAATTTTTACCTTTGAACTTTGTTATTTTAATCTTATGACACCCTTTATTTTTATTTTGACATATCAAACACTTTAACTTATAATATTACACCTATTAAACACTACAGTTTGTAAATTATTTTGTTAAATATTTCAACTTGTAAAATTATATTAATTAAACACCTATTAAAAAGTTGAAAAATATGAAAATTATTATTCCAAAAACTATGCTAACTACTTATTAAATAAATATTTTGCATATAAAAATTAAAAACCTTAAAAATTATTGATGTTAATATGGTGAAGTGTGTAATGTTATCAAAATTTGCAAGTTCAATTGTACAATAGGATATTCACAAAATTCAAGGTGCCAGAAGGTTAAAGTTGTAAAGTTCATGAGTAAATTTATATATTCGGTCATTTATTTTTTTACATGGGTACTCAGTATTCTCTAATATTTCTTTTTTGTTCATCTTTTATTAATTAAATAATTTGTTTGGATGCTCTCCTGAACAGGTCATGGGTCATGCAAGTTCCCTAGTGTTACTGTGTGAAGATGATTTATGCAAGTTCCCTAGTGTTATTTTGATGGAGATCTTATTTAATTAGTTGTTTTCAATTCACACACATGTATGAGATAACAAAGAGCATTGTATTTATTAATAAAATGGTCTATTGAATTAATAAAATGTCTTCTCATTTATTATGTTATTTTTCCAAATTTCCTACGCATTTAAGAAGTTAAAAGTCTTAAACACCCTTATAAAATGCTATCCTGGGATGCTTTTTCTTTAAATTGAAGTAAATCCCAATATATATGAATGTACTTAGTTCTAGAGGCAAAACTAGTTGAAGGTTAAAAAATAATTTACTACTATTGTCTGCATTTTCCAACTACTAACCAGGTTCTGACTACACAAAACTACAACAAATTTGTGAAAGGATGCAATTCCAATATATGGAGATTTGGAGATACATAGAGGAAGGAATTGTTGAAAGTCTATAGAGCACCTGTCCGTCCAAACTCTCTTAACATCGAACCACCATGTGAAAGAATTGAAAAAATAAAAACCTTAGGCTCAATCTCAGGTATGAAACTACCCTTTCTTGGACACCAAATACTAGCTAATGTACTCTTCATAGCACTAAAATTCACCCTCCAATCAATTAGTCACCTGTCGACTAGAGAGAGTAATCGAAAATAGGAGCCACCGATTGAGTCAATGGAGCAAACTCAAAGGGCGATTCTTCATCCTCCCCCAAATCTAGGTTTTTAATACCACCCTTAATATTGTGATCCATGAGAACTCCAACTCTAAGAAAAATCAAGAACAAAGGAAATACGTTATTGAAAGATGCTACTTGTGTATATATAATTTGGTAATACGTAATAAAGTAATGTAGACCCAGTGAGTTATTGAAGTGAGTTATTTAATAAGATGATATAGCCTAATGAGCCTCCATTTTAGATATTAGACTGTTGTTTTAGGCATGAGGCAAGTTATGTGAACAGAATTACTGACTTACATTGTTTATGGCTTATTACGGGCCTTGTGGCCACAAACCCGCTCAAATCCTAATAGTGGTCCGGCTTAAGGTGACAGATCGTAACAAACTTATTCATCACACTTTAGGACGGATAAAAGCATAGAAAGAAACATAAATTATGCTAGCATGATGTCTTGACATAATATTTAGATACCCAATGTAATCTACGGATAATGAAAACATTAAGAGCAAACATGTTAAGGTTTAACCAACACATACAACAATAATGCAAAAATAAGCAAGACAAACATAAGTACTTACTAAACCATTTGTAAAATCCTTAAAAAAACTTATGCAACTAGAACGACATGTCACTTATGGCTTACAAATGCTTGAGAAAGTTCTTGAAACCCATCAATTAAAAAAAAATGAAAAAAATTAAAAAGGAGTAAGAATTGAAAAGAGAAGATAGAGATAATATCTAAATATAGGGAGTCAAAAGCGAACACTATAAAAAGCCTAATAGAATTGAACATCGACGACTACCGTACAATTAAGAATGAGATAAATCATATTATAGTGTTTGGAGGCTAAAGGTTCAAGAAAACACGCTCAAATTCGATTTGAAAATGACAATGATTAGTTTTCATAGGTAAAACGACATGGAAAAATTTTTTAAAAGATTTTTCATTTAAAAATTTAATCATAAATTCTAACCAATGAAATTCAGTAAAAAATATTTTATTATTGTTAAATCAGATCTATAAATCAGTTTGAATTTTTGAAAAACCAAGTGAAAAATCCATAAATCAAGCAAAAACCGAATTAAATCACTGAATTGAACCGAAATAGTGTAGAAGCCCCATATTTTTTTTTCTTCTCTCTTCTTCTTCTTCTTCGTCTCGCGCGCACGCCGCTCACCTCTCTCCCTTTCCCTCCGTTTTCCTGCCACTAGCCACGGAATCCGGCAAACAAGCACTGTACCTTGATCCTCTCATCGAAGCGAGCTTCTTTGTGGCTTTGGTTCACGTGATAGCTGCCTGAATGAAGAGAGATGGTGGTTGGAAGGTGTGTCACCATGCGATTGAGTTTTTCGGCGAAATCTCGTCGTTCCATCAACTTTAAGTGCTGGGATGGTCTCAATCGACACCTAGTCGCCTCCTGAACGATTTTCCTCCATTAATTTTGGCGATGGAGCATTGAGGATGAAAGCACCATTAGAGGCGGAGATACAGCCACTGTCGAGCCCAATCCGATGAGTTAGAGGTTCGATCTCGCTCAATTTTATGAGTTTGTGAGGACGATTCTGAAAATGATGAAAGTATGAAATTTGACCGTCGGCCATGTATGGGGAGATCGGCGCCCCCGTGTGCACCTGATGATATGTATTATATAGAAAACCATAGGGTGGTCTCCTGATGGTATGGAAAAGAAAAGAGAGTTCTAAAAAATGAATGAATGAAATGAAATGAAATGAGAGGGCTGGTCAAGTGAGGATTAGACCGGTGCCCCCGTGTGCACCTTGATTGATATGTTATTATATAGAAAACCCATAGGGTGGTCTCCTGATGGTTATTGGGAAAAGAAAAGATGAGTTTCTAAAAAAATGAATGAATGAAAGTGGAAATGAAATGAGAGGCTGTCAAGTGGAGGATAGGACCGGTCAGCCAGGTATGGGGATTCGACTCCCTGCGCACCAGTCATCAGGGATGGAGATGGGCCATGTGTGAGGACGACTCATCGGGGGGTTCTAATGACGCCACTGACCAATCTCCACGTGTTTGATTACTTGAAGGTGTGATTATTTGTGGGTACTGATGATGTGCCATTTGTTTGATTGGATGAGTGCTCATTTTAGCACTTTAGGAAGCATTTTGTGTGAATGCTTCTGTTATGCATTAATTATTATTTATTATTAAGCTCACATTTCTTTTGTTTAAATTCTTCCAAGAAGTAGATTCTTTTGCTCGGTTAGAGATGGCTCATCGGGGGTTTCGGTGATGCTACTGACCAATCTCCACGTGTTTGATTATTTGAAGGTGTGATTATTTGTGGGTGCTGATGATGTGCCATTTATTGTGCCATTTATTTCATTGGATGAGTGCTCGTTTTAGTACTTTAGGAAGCATTTTGTGTGAATGCTTGTGTTATGCATTAATTATTATTCATCGTTAAACTCACATTTCTTTTGTTTAAATTCTTCCAGGAAGTAGATTCTTTTGACCGGTTAGAGCTCTGTCTCCTTCCACGCAGAGCTAGAAAATTAATTTTTAAAATTAACAGTTATTTAATTATGTAGCTATATGTACTAAAACTTATTTATACTTATTTGTTAATAGACTCTGCAGTTGTAGGATTGTAACCGATAAAATATATCAGGAGGCTTAGTTATTTATTTTTGTGAATGCATGAATCTGTTAGCTCACATTAAGGATGTTTTGTATTATAATTGGGCCCAAACTATAAAATGTTTAACACGTTATATATGGGCCAAAGTATAATACAATTATGAGATTTACTGTGCATGGCAGTATGGATCGAATATTTGAAATTCATATTTATATGGTTAAATTTTAGTGGTTTAGACTTACTACGAGCCTCGGGGCCTCAAACTTACACTACAAAAAAATCGCCGATTTGCGACCGATTTTGCGACCGACTAAAATCGGTCGCACCTTTGTGACCAATTTGCGACATATTTACAAACAGTCGCTAATTGTAGCGCTAAAAATTCCCGCGAGTTTGTTTTTCAGGTTGCGACCAATTGGCGACCGATTTGGCGACCGATCTGCCAGTACGTGTTATTCCGTCGCAAAATTGCGCGCTTCAAAATAAGGAATAAAGTCTGTGACCTATTTGCGACCGATTATATGCGACCGAAGTTGATGGTCGCAAATCGGTCGCACTTTTATTGCGAAGTAAAACGACGTCGCAAAGTTAAAAATTGCGACCGATTTTAATGAAATTTGCGACCGACAAAGTTTAGGGCTTTAAAGGCTAGACACCCTCCTTCTTCTTTTTTCTTCTTTCTTTCTTCTCCTTCTCCTCTCCTCTCCTCCGTTCGCAGCGCCGCTCCAGCCCCTCCTGACGCCGCTCCTCCTCTCCTCCGTTCGCAGCGCCGCTCCAGCCCCTCCTGACGCCGCTCCAGCCCACCTGACGCCGCCATCTCCGCTCCATTGCAGGTCCGGTCACTCCTCAACGCCGTTCGCGCTATTTGGACACTAGTTGAGGTAAGTTTTGCGATTTATTTTTTTCTATTTTTTTTTGTGATTTATGTGTTTTTTGCGATTTTGGTATATTTGACAGGGTTATTTGAAATTAGGTGCATTCTATATTTATTATTATTGTTACCGTGTATAGAAGTCGAATTGCTCCTTATATTGGATACATCTATTGCAGTACTTTAGAATTTGAAGCGATAATGTTTTTGCTCCTTATATTTGAGAGTTTCTTGCAGGCGTCTTTTGTCAAAGATGCACCAATTTCTGTCAACCGTGTAACATGGAATTTTGATGGAAGTCTTGTGGGTATGTGCCCTTCAATAAGAAATTAGCACCATAAGGTGCTTTTTTTGTCATCTTATTGTTTTTTATGCTACAGGAGCTGCATTTAATAAGCATTTGGTTCACCTGTATGCTTATAATGGATCAAATGATCTACGCTAGCAACTGTAAGCAACTGTAGGATTTACTTGCCTTTTTTAAAAAAAAAAAAATTTAGATTGATGCTCACGTTGGGGGTGTTAATGACTTGGCTTTTGCTCATCCAAACAAACAACTGTGTGTTGTAAACTGTGGAGATGATAAGCTAATAAAGGTAAAACATTAATTTTCACAGGCGGATAATTAAAACATGGAGTTTCTAATGTAAGACATGAAACAGGTTTGGGATTTAGGGGGACGGAAATTATTTAATTTTGAAGGTCATGAGGCTCCAGTTTATTCTATATGTCCTCACCATAAAGAAAGCATTCAGGTATGTCACAAAAATGAAAGGGCTAATCAGTTATTGTCTTATTTTAAGACCTCGATTGAAATGCGTACTACTTCTTATGGGACGGAAATTATTTAATTTTGAAGGTCATGAGGCTCCAGTTTATTCTATATGTCCTCACCATAAAGAAAGCATTCAGGTATGTCAGAAAAATGAAAGGGCTAATCAGTTATTGTCTTATTTAGCCTAAGATTTTTACCCTAATAATCCATAATTACCTTGATTCATTAAAACTTGTAATGCCACTGATATATAGGGTGCATATTCTGCAATTCCTTATCAATGACTGTGCCAACTTCTCTGCCTATTAGGCCTGCTCCTTTTCTTCCAACATATTTGTTGTAGCAAAGCGAACCACTCGAATCTTATTCTTTGTGGTGCTGCCAATCTACCAATAGGGTTTTTTAGCGGTATAATATCAATTACATTTTAAATTAATTATAGAAGACATGTTACAGTGGCGTTAACCTTTTGAGTTGTGAACTTGCAGTTTATATTCGCAACTGCTATTGATGGAAAAATAAAGGCCTGGCTATATGATAATGTGGGACCTAGAGTTGATTATGATGCACCAGGCCAGGCCGCTGGTGCACTACAATGCTTTACAGTGCTGTGCTTATTACAGTGCTGATGGTAAGTGGGATTCATATTGACGGATAAATTAAAAATTGAACCTTAAATTAATTTAAACTTGTAATATAATATGAGTTTATAATGTGTTCAGATCGCTTTTATTTTATTTGGGCATAATTGTTGTGAATCTTTGCGTGCCATTTTACTTAGCCTTTTTAATTATCGTTTTGTCTTTTTAACAATGTGATTTTGTCCAGCTTCGTCTGCTCCTTCCTTTCAGATTATTCTCTTGTGGAACAAAAAAGACGGGGAGATACTCTTTCCTAAAGTTGCATTGGAGACGAAGACGTGAAGGAGCGAATTAACAAGTGAGGCACTCGAAGGTTGGGTCAGAACGAAATCAACTGTGCAGGTGTTACTGTGCATTTTGAACTACACAAAACCACTTTTTTGGCTGCGGTGAAGGATAGTCTAGATAAAGGTTTTTCGCATTATCGATATAATACTAAAATGTTTGTCACAAGCCAAGAGTAATGCGATGTGGACTGCCGGTTAGTTAATTGTGTTAATTCTAGCGCTCTTGTGCTCAGATGGCCCTTTGTAAACATAGACTCCTTATTGTATCAACTGCTTCCAGAGATCGTTTCCTCAGCTTGAGATTCAATAAGCGAAGGAAGATCTAGCTCCGCATGTTAACCCTTACCGGCAGCACATACTGAGTTTTTATTTTTTTTGTGATATATATATATAATATATGACATTTCCCACCAAGTACAAAAAATTATGGTTTCATAATAAGATCTTTATTTTTTTTTATTTTTTTTTTTGTGACCGATTTGGCGAACCCCAAAAATAAAAACTTTAAATTTACAATTTGCATAATAATATTTATTTTTTTTATTTTTTTTATTTTGTGACCGATTTGCGACCAAAAATAAAAACTTTAAATTTACAATTTGCGACCGAATTTCATAATTACGACAGACTTTTTCTGCGACCAATTTGCGACAGCGTTTCCAACGGAAAACACGACTAACAATTGCCACCTATTTTTTCAATTTTGCGACCGACGAAAAAATTGGTCGCAAAATATTTTGCGACGAGCATTTTTGCGACCGACCAACATCGGTCGCAGATCGATCGCTAATTGAAATTTGCGACCAATTTCTTGCATTTTGCTACCGATTTGTCGGTCGCAAAATGCTATTTTTTTTGTAGTGTTATATGGTACTAGTGCCGGTTCGACCCATGGAAACAGGTCGCGACAATAGGTTTGATGCAAAATTAGTTCGTTTACTATTTTTCTTCATTTGTTGCTCTCTGGCTCTCTAATTGTTTGTTTTAGTTTATTGTATTTTTGTTATAGTTTTATTTTGATTACATATAATTTTGAAAAAAAAAATATCATTAGAAAATTGTGTCTCAGATAGGAAGTATTAGAGAGCAATTTTAAAAATTCATTACCTATAGATAAATGTTCAATCACTTTAATATTCACGTCTTCTGTTTAAGGCCACATCAATCACAATCAAGTAACATTAGAGATGCTTTAATAGCATCACGACAATTCCTTTCCTATGCTATGTTTGAATGAGAGAAACATACGAGAGGAAATAAAATAATTAAAGAAAATATTAGAGGAAAATGATTTTGCCTTATTCAAAAATATTAAAGGGAAAAGGTACATATTATACATATACTAAAGTGAAAACCAAAAACACTGTTCATAAAATAATATTTTTCCAATAAAACCAACCATTTTGCGCTTTGTCATATTCACAACCATTGTTTTTCCAATAAAACTACATCTTTTTAATGTTTTTTCTATTTTGCCTTTTTGTCATATTCTTAGAGGTTACTGTTCACATGCACAGTATTTTAGTTTTTGCTTTTACTATTTTGCCCCTCTTCATTTCAAATATTTTATCATTGTAACTCTATTTGTATTTCTAACGAATTCCATCACTCTAATGTCTTCTACCTCACACATGCATGACCCTTCATTTGCTTCTCCACCATTTCCACAGTGTAAACTAAATTAATCTAATTTTTGATTAATATTTTTTAATAAATAAGTTACCTTAACATTTAATTTTGTTAGTTTGAATTATGTGATAATTAATTAATTTTTTTTTATATAAAACCGATTTAATATAAATTTATGTCTTAGATCCAATTCACTAAATGGTATTTTAGTATTTTTACATTTCTTTGCAACTGCAATACTAAGCAAATTATAATATACTTACTTAATACTAACTTCTTTGGATTTCTATCCATCAATGTGTATTTCTTTAATGATAAAAATAAAATGTATGTAAAAATGATTGGTAGTTTTAAAAAATTCACTCCATAGCTAAAATACCAAAAGTTTTTTCATTGTAAGGGAAAACTCCAAAAATCTAAAAATATAAAAATGAATCGTTTGTTTAAAATATAATAAAAAATAGTTAAAAAAAATCCATAAGGTGAATATACCTTTTATTTAGTGAAAAAATATATAAAAATTTTGAGCAAACAATAAATAGCAATCGTATCAATAAAACTAAAATTATAAATTTAGCAATTCTACCAACAAAATTAATTTTATAAAATTAAATTAAATAAGAAATCGGTAACAAAGTGCGGGTAATTTTATTAGCTTGTATATAACTATAATAATACCGTTCATATTACATGTCTAAAAATATATATTTGAGTTAAAATTATAAAACTATAGCTTTAAAATATTCTCCATCCAAACAAAAGACAGGAAAATACCCTCGTTATTCCCTTTACTCTACCGTCCAAACAAAACAATCATAAATGAGTAAGGGAAGTTTGTCAAACAGCGGAAATAGGTCCTGTCCCACCCCAAAACCGCGATAGGGCCGCCAACTTACTATCGATGCGAGAGAGTAGGAAAATTCGGTTAACCAAATCATTTACAAACTTGTCTTTTTGGCTACTAAAAATTAAAAAATGAATATTTCACTCAATCAGCTACTAGCTGTACTGATAATACCGCTTCACATTGAAAAACCAACGCCAAATATCTCTCCCCTCTCGATACTGTCGCCATAACTGCATTTACATGTATCGAGTACGCGATTAGGAGAATTATCGGCTCCACTAGCTACTGTTTTTCCTTCTGCTTCTCCAAATACAGTGGTTATGGCTTCCTTAGGCGGCAACCTTATCGATCATACACACGCCTCTCATAAGTTATTTTACAGTTTCAGAACCTGTAATAGGATCTTCCTTAGAAAATGCAATAATCTGTCCTCGATTCGTCGATTTCGAGTTTATTGCGAAACCAAGGTGATTCTCTCATTTTCTAGCGCTTTTTCTTGTTTATATATGTTTGTTTGTTTAATTAGTGTATTTTGATTTTGTAGATAGAAGAGAAGAAGGTAAGGAAGTGTTCGCCTCATTTGGAGAAAGCATTGCTTGCCAGAAATGGCGTCGCGCTGGCCTCTGATGAGTGGAGAGCAGTTCCTGATATTTGGAGAACTACAGCAGAGAAATATGGTGATCGGGTTGCGCTTGTGGATCCGTATCATGATCCACCTACGAATATGACTTATGGACAGGTTAGTTTTGTTTATATGGTTTTGAATTCGTTATTTGCTTTGCTTTTTGGTGAGAGTTTATTTTGGTTGAAATACTTGGTGTTTTTCTTTTTCTTCTTTTTTTTTTTTTTTTTTTTTTTTTTTTTTTTTTTTTTTCTTCTTTTTTTTTTTTTTTTTTTTTTTTTTTTTTTTTTTTTTAATGCACATGTGGCTGATTGTGTCTTACTCTAAATTGATTTTCACGTCACTTTGTTAATTTTGGTATATGATAGTACTGTATGGTTTGTAATGGCTTACAATTAATTATGCCTGACCATTTCGGAGCGAGGATCCAATTTGGGTTTTATGTCCAAGACTTCTTCAGTCTTAGGCAGATTTTGACTAATAAAAACTAGTTGCTGATAGTCTATTTTCCTGGTTTTATGACAAGAACATTCAGCTTTTTCTTTTTTGTTTATTCTTTATTCCTTTGTTCTCCCTTTCACTATTCTATTGTTAAAAAAAGAAGAAAAATAGGTGGCTGTTTTTTGAGTTGTGAACAGTATTACAGTACCTGTTGTAGTGGAACGGGACAGCAAAACAAAGAAGAGAGGAAATCTAATCACAGAGGCTTCCAAATTAAAATACCAAAAATTCCAATTTTAGAAGCCCAAGAAATAACCAGGTTAAATTGGTGTTTATTGTACTGCTTTTCTTTTCTCAACCAGGTACTGCTACATCCAAATAGGAAATATAAAATCTAATTTCCAAAATATAAAAATACACACACACAAAAAAAAAAAAAAAAAAAAAAAAAAAAGAAAAAAGAAAAAAAAAAAAAAAAAAAAAAAAAAATCTTTACTTTGAAAACAAAGGATCTGCAAACTTGGTTGTCTTGGCTGCATCATGATACTTGAACCTATTAAATCTACTCAATTATGAGAAATTTTAAGTAACTGACCTGGTTTAACTTACAAGGATGGAACGATGTGCAATTGGTTGCCATGCAATTGCTGCAACATACTACGATAATCAATAGCAGACATGGGGTGGCTATTGGGGGGTGACCCGAAGAACTTGCATCACTGGTGTTTGGATCACAATTTTATATAGGGAAATAGAGGTATATATTTTCTAAGTAAATCTAAGATTTATGATTGAATTAGAGGGAAAAAATGTAAAGATTTGAGCTGCTGAAGTCTTCAATTATCTGCTCAATTTCAGATAAGTTTGTAGTGAAAGTAAAAGAGAGGGGAAAAAGATAATGTCAAGCTTCAAATGAGAATCCTTAGGTGTCGGTGAGGCCTCATGGTATGATATTATACAACTCAAAGAAAATAGTTGCTGGAATTTCATTCAATGAAAAACTGAAAAAACAAGTTGATTGATTTGTAAAGTTACTTCTTATCCATGTTTGTGATTTGGAAGAGGTAAACAAATTCTGGACCTCCATTAACAAGATTGACCATTCATTTGGTTCATTTTTACTAACTCTCAAATTTTTATTTATTTAATTTTCTTTTCCAACTGATGCTGATTGTGCATCTACAGGTGCAATTTCTGGTTCTTTGCACGTTTGTGAAAATCAGTTGCTCCTTGTTTCAGTAATTTTCTCATGAAGTCATTCTTTTCCCTCTGAACAGTTGGAGCAGGAAATTTTACATTTTTCTGAAGGTCTAAGAGTTATTGGTGTAAAGCCCAATGATAAAATTGCTCTTTTTGCTGATAATTCATGTCGGTGGCTTGTAGCAGATCAAGGTACATAAAAGTTTAATTAAGTGGGGAACATTCTTGAGTTCTCTTTACACCTCTCTATTCTTGTATTGCTATATTTGCATCTCTGTTATTGTGTATGAGTTGAGTGAGACCTATTTGAGTCTGTGTTGGCTGTATATTTAGCCCTTTACTGGAATGTTTTTTATCAACAGTCTCTCTACATCGATAATATTGGAGCGAAGAACATAGACTAATATGTGACATCACCATTTTATTTCATAGACTAATATTGGAGCGAAGAACATAGACTAATATGTGACATCACCATTTTATTTCATAGACTAATATTGGAGCGAAGAACATAGACTAATATGTGACATCACCATTTTATTTCATAGACTAATATTGGAGCGAAGAACATAGACTAATATGTGACATCACCATTTTATTTCATCTAATATTGGAGCGAAGAACATAGACTAATATGTGACATCACCATTTTATTTCATAGACTAATATTGGAGCGAAGAACATAGACTAATATGTGACATCACCATTTTATTTCATTTCGATACATTTGCATCTATTTAGAAAAAGAACACAGATATTCAATCATTAAATATGTTCTTGCATCTAACACTCCAAAAGCCATTCTCGAGCCCTTTCTAAAGTGACGTAGTCATTTTTTTTAATCATTTTAGAATGATATTGTGTTTCTGGCACTCTAAATAAGAAGCCTTAAAATTTCTGCTTGCAAACCATTTTTGTGTTATTCTATATCTATGCTGTTATCAAATTCTATATGAATTTAGGATGTAAAAAGTTCACAATTAAAAGGCTCTGGTACTGCCGCTTAACAAGTGAAACTCTTGGCATTCTGTTTAGCTAATAAAATTTGATTCACTAAATTGGTGGTATTGAACCCATTAGAAACTGGGATATTTACTGTAAACGCTTTGTTTCTTTTAGAACTTGTAAATTGTCAGCAACATTTCGGTACCATGGAGCTATATTTCCTCTTTATTGTGGCAATCGATTGTTGTTAGTGTGGAAAACAAACGTGATATCAATTATTGTAGTGTTAATATGCCTATTTACCATTGGGCTCGGAGTTCAGTGGTTGAATGCCTGTTTCATAGCGCTAGACGTCAAGTGTTCAAACCCTGACAGTTCCCTCACCCCCCTTCCTACCACATCAACAATTAAGCCTGGTCACAAACTAGTCGGGGTAGGCTATATGAATCTTTTGTTTCTAATATTCACTTTGAAAGGTGAATTTGGGATCATTTGATATATTAATAATAGAATAAAGCATAAAATAAGCAGCAACAAGTAACTAGGGTCTGCAATATGAATCTTTTGTCTTCATTATGTTCTATTCATAGCTATATCCTCACTAATATTTAAAGGATTGCTTCACTATGCTCCCATAGGATACCTGTAAAGTGACATTGTTGGCTTCTTGATTCATATTTTGCTTTATGGAAAAACATAGTGTCAATTTATGGAACTTTTATCATACTTGTCTTCTGTTGTATATTTGTGTTTGAACTGCTGAGGGTTCAAATTCATCTTAATGCTTATTTTGTCCTAGGTATGATGGCTATGGGAGCAATTAATGTTGTAAGGGGATCTAGATCTTCTGTTGAAGAGCTATTACAAATATACACTCACTCTGAAAGGTTTGTGGAAAAAGATTTTCCCTTTCAATGAATTTCTTTTCATGTTCTGCTTGTGTTTGTGATATTCAAAAATAGAGTATCAATAAGCTTGATTTAATATTTATAGGTAATTTATTTGTTGTTGCCAGTGAGCTGTTTAAAATGTTTGGGCGGATTTGAGGGTCTGACATAGAAGGGAAGGATCTGATTCATGCATGTATTGTTCAAATAGGTAGAAGTTAAAGAATTGAGTTATACATGAATGTGAAAGATAAATCTAGGGGTGACAAGTGGTCAGCTAAAAATGTAAAACTGAAATTTTCTGACCGAACCGAACTGAATTGAAATTGGCATCTGAACTGAACCGACTTGAACCGAACCAGTTGGTTTTGATCGGTTTTTATAATTTCGGGTTGGTTCTAAGCCTAACCAATTAGTTTCTGCAAAACTGAGCTGAACCACCAATTAGTTTAAGAACCGACATGGGTCAATTCGGTTCGGCTGGATGTTTTGCACACCCCTAAATAAATCCATCATGGTGGGAAATATTGCAAAAAATAAAAAGGAGTGGCAGGGCTTGTGGAGGGTAGAAAAAAGGAGGGATAGAATGGAGCAAGATACTGATGTAGGAAAAGAGGGAAGAAATTAGAGGGTCTGCTGGGCCAATATCATATTTGAAATTTTCATAAATTGTGTGACTTTTCAAGTTTTTCTTTAGGTGATAATTGTATACTACCTTGAACTCTTCTAGTTCATAAGTGTTTTGAATGGATAGATATTTGGAATTTGACTTCTTTCTTTAGTTAGTGTATCTGAAAGAGTTGAGAAATCTACGCGATATTTTTTTTGTTTTATTCTCAGGAAAGCAAGGGCATTTAGCTTTTGAATTGCAGTATCTGTGTTAGAGGGGCAATAGGCATTATTGATTCACATTTGTTTTATGTGTTAGAAGGGCAATGGGTCACATTGTAACCTTTTTGCTTTTTTCATTGTGGTATTTATTTCTTTCTCTATTTGGAAATGGCTTTCTTTTTTGTTACTCTTTTTATTTTATTTCTCTTGGGGATGGTTGGGGGTGGGGACAGGCGTGTTGATGGTGGCAAGAGTTCGGTATTGCCTGAAATAAAATTTAAAGGTTTTGTGGAAGGAAGTTTACATAGAGACTTTACCATTGTGCAGTATTTACAATGGTTAGAAGTATTTGAACTGCGGGAGTGGTTGTATGTTTAAGAACAAATCTTTGCATTTGAACTTCTTGCTTTATTATCCTATTCTTACATCATTCAGGTTTCTACTCCTAGGCTTTTAAAGAGGTGCATCTGGTTCGCATTCATCTGTGTTTTGGTATTGTTGATTTCTTCTGTTTTCAATGTGTAATGGCATTGGTAATGTTGCTGATTTTGTCCATTCTGATTACTGCAGTGTTGCACTTGCAATAGACAGTCCTGAATTGTTCAATCGAATTTCAGAAACATTTTGTTCCAAGGCAGTTATAAGTTTTATCATTCTACTTTGGGGAGAGAAATCACAATTGGCTATTGGTGGAATGAAAGGGGTTCCCGTGTTTAGTTACAAAGAGATTATAGAATTGGGACAAGAGAGCCGTAGAACTTTGTTTGATTCCAATTATGCTAGTAAGTTGCCCTTTTTCAATAATTCATTATATATTTTTTTGGATCTTCCTCTGGATAATTTTCCCCATGAGTTTTTTCAAGTTCACAGTTTAAATTCCCATTTTGTTTTCTCTAAAAAATTTGTTTTGCCATTTGTTTGTCTTAATTTGTGGGCGTCGACAGTAAATCCTACAATACCATTGTGAAGCTTGGTAGAAACAATTCCTTTAAGAATGTTATTAATTACAGATTTTGGAAATTAGTAGTATATTTGTTAAAGCTCAAAGATGGAAACTGAACTAGCAAAGTTGTTGGTATTTATCTAACATCTTATTTATTCATGGTTCTAAGGTTTAATGATTTTGGGTGATTTGATAGAATGGAAAACAAACATAATAAGGTCTATTCACTTGCTGCATTATTTGAGTTGGCCTGCTTGCTTCCATTTGGAATTAGGGACCTTTTTATATTTATTTGTCAGGGTAATTATATGATTGGTCTCTGAACTTTGTTACTTTTTATATTTTAGTGTCTCAACTTTATTTTTTTATCAATTAAGTGTTTAAAACAACCGATTTTTTCTCAATTAAGTGCATTTGGCCAATTTTTTTTACTGGAAAATTAAAATAGACAATTTAATTGATAAATGATACCGCACATAAACATCCATTCATTTCATCTCTATTTCTTAAATTTTTCTAAACTTTTTATTGTTTGATATCTCTTCTTTTTTAAAAAGAAATCTCAAAAATTCCTTATATTTCTTTTTCCATTCCAAAATAAAATCAGCAAAACTGAAAACTTAATGATCTAGAGAAAAATGAGATAAAATAGTCCATTTTGATATTTTGGCTAGAAATTCTGGCCAAATGCACCTAATCTCGAAAAATTTATCAGTTCAGACACTTAATTGACAAAAATAAAGTTGAAAAACGAATATAGAAAATGTAAAAACCCTAGACAATAACTTTATAACTACCCATTTATTTTCTTCACATTCGTTTCCTTAATATAGGTAAATTAAATATTGTTATCCTAGGTTATAGTATAATTTTAAATATTGCCTCATGTCATGATATGATTTTACATTGCAGTTGCTGTGTTGGAGAGTACTGATCAAATGGTTTTATTGACTGGTTATTATATCATGATTTTTTTAAAAAAAATTATAAAAATAATTCAATTTGATAGTATACTGGGGAAATGGGAATGGACTGAGAAATGCAACATATCAATTACTTTTACCTCTTAAATTACTATTTTTTGACTACAAATACATAACTTAATTGAGATTGTGGGGGTCAACTGTTGACGGAGTCGCATGGAAGATCTTGGTATTTATGCCTATCATTGTTATTGCCTTCATTCTTCAAATTATTATTGTTGTGATTCTAGATGTATTCCTGCATAATAGTTATGACTGTCCTCTCAAATCCTCTAGTCTGAAAATGTTGAAAAAGAAACATACTCCCAAATAAGAAAATCACATTGATGTCTGTGATAGACATTTTGGTTGTACACAATATACCTGACCTCAGTTATCTTTGTTCCATCTACATCACGTTATCTGTTTGATTATCTGGAATGTAAAAGAGAAAATGTGAATTAAATCATTCCCTTTCCTGGTTTTTAATACCTGAATCTCATATGGGAATGAATATCTGGTGATAAGGGTTTGGTTTTTCCTTATTTCTTATCCTCTGTCCCTTCATCCTTGTGACTAAACAACCAAGGATAGGAATAAAAGATCTGAATCCCTATTGTTCATTTCGAATAAATAAACTGGATCAGAATTGAAGAATGGATACCTTTGCTAAATATAAAATTAGGTTATCATGCTTTGAATCCCATCCCTGCAACCCAAAAAGGGCAGATATTTTCTAATAACGGTTTTGTGGATATTAAGAACCTTCACGTTACTTCAGCTAGGTTTCATGGAGCATTTTATTTGATAGTATTATTTAAGATTTAATTTCGTTTTTTTTTTTCTTCTTGTGAGTTGCTGGAGCATGGGCTCAATTGCTTTTATTTTAGCTTGGTCATGCCAGTGTACTAGCTGATATGATTGTTCTTCTATTTGCTACCGTTCCATATTGAATCATTAACAATAGAATATACATTTTTTTTCTTTTCTAAATCTGTTTTGTAGTTGCTGATACTAAGTATTCTGATGCTTGGTGTCTGCTTGGCTCCTGTGTATTTTCAATTTTTGGTGTCTGAACTTTGCTCGTTTTTCTATTTTAATGTCTAAACTTTATTTTGTATCAATTTAGTGTCTGAACAGACAAAGTGTTGCAAATAAACTATTTTACTCAATAAATGATATTAAACATAAATATTTATTCAATTCATCCCCCCCTTTCAATTTATTTATTTATTTATTTATTGTCTTATATCTTGTCTTTAAAAATCATCTAAAAAAGATTACTTATAATTTTCTTTATATTCAAAAAAAATAAAAAGAAAAAGTTAGAAAGAAATAAGAAAGAAAGGTAACAGTGTGGAGAAACGAATAAAATGAAGGAATTGGGTTAAATAGTTCTTTTTTTCTTCCATTGGTAAATTGCGCCAAACTCTTTTTTTTTTTTTTTTTTTTTTATATTAATTTCTATATTCAAGAAAAAATAAAAAAGAAAAAGATTTAGAAAGAAATAAGAAAGAACAGGTAACAGTGTGGAGAAACGAATAAAAAAAAAATGAAGAATTGGGTTAAATTAGTTCTTTTTATCTTCCATTGGTAAATTGCGCCCAAAACTCTTTTTTTTTTTTTTTCTTTTTAAATTATTTAGTTTTTTTTTTTTTTTTTTTTTTTTAAATATTAGTTTACTTGTTTGATTGGCAAAAAATAAAGTTGATACACTAAAATAGAGAAATGGACAAAGTCCAGTCACTAAATTTATAATTGCTCCTTAATATTTTAAAACATTGTGAGCATAATCTACCAAGCCAAAATTGGAATCTGCATGATAATATTGAGAAAAGTTACTTTGAGATGAGCAGTCTTGATAAACTAATACTCATATGTAATTCATGGTTGGTGCAAATTATGACTTCTGAAGTAAAAAAGTAGAAATTGGTGCTTTGTACACACAGAAAAACAAACTATCTCTTCTTTTGTTGAACTGAATTATGTCTGAATATGAATATCATAGAAAAAATTGAGTTTTCCTCTCATTCTGTGATTTCTTTTTACATGTTTAGAAAGAAAATATAAGGTCAAAAAGAGTGGAAGAAAAAGGGCAGTAGTTTACTTATATTTAATGCACAGAATAGGATATTGGCAACATTTCTGCTAATGACTTGATTGCAGGGCAATACTGTGTGTATGAAACAATCAGCTTGGATGATATTGCTACAATAGTTTATACTAGCGGAACCACTGGGAATCCTAAAGGTGTTATGCTTACACATAAGAATTTATTGCATCAGGTTCGTTTATCGTTATCTCCTTTCTTCTTTTATTAGCTTTAATTAAGTGGAGCAAACTATTGTTGTTTGATCCATAAATTAATGTGTAGCAAAATAATTTTGCATACACAGGAACATCCTGACCCAGTGAATCAAGAGTAAACTGCCACTAGCAACTGAATCAGCTTCTTTAGCAATAGTTCTTTTTGCTATTGAGGACCTGCTTTTGCTGGGCTGTCCATTTGGATTACTTGTTACTTATATCTTATTTGATGATTTAGGTTCTAGTGCCTTTACATTTAAGCTTCTCCATATTCTTAATAATCCTTTTGTACTGTATAACCAGAGCCTCTAAAAAGTGCAAGTTACTTCATTCACTTGTGTTTAGTCTCTTCGAAGCACATGAAAGCTAGAAATGCCAAAAAGCACAAGGTTGATTGTCTGTATCTATCTAAAAACTCCAAAATATTCAAATAGGTGTCTATTTTATAATCAGTGACTTGAGTCAAAGTGAAACCCCTGTCAAATCGTTAAACAATGCTATATTTTCTTATTATTAGAAATAAAATGAACCGTTTAAAATGATAAGTTCAATGGTTGGATATTTAATGGGTTTGAATTGAGCAAAGATATGACCACTGATGGACCCAGAAATTTGGATTTTGGTGGGTCAGGAGGTTGCGGGAGGCAAAGTAAAATATAGCCTAACAAGAGAGGTAGGTGAAATTGAGAAGGGGAACTATAGCATAGGAAAAAATGAAGTTTATGGGGACTTAGCTCCTTCCCTCTGCCATTATTTGTGACATCATTACAAATCACTGTAGGATATATAATGTCTGCAAAACTAATAGGATCATTATCGTTTTCTTTTCTTGTATTTTCCATGTAATGAACCATTGAAGGGAATAATAGGTTTAATGTCAAAGCAGAAGAATAAACATATAGCTATAAAGAGAATATGTAATATGTTTAGTTTGGATTGGACATAGTTGCAAGGGGATTGATAGAGATGTTTATTCATATTATTGTAGACCAAAAAATGCACTAGTGTGAAATGTTGTACACATTAAGTCACAAAAAGGAGAGACTTAGGATGATGTGTGGTCAAGGAGTGAAGAAAGATCTAACATTGCTAGACCTTTCTGCAGATGTAGCCATAAATAAGTAGAAGGAAGGAAAGAAGGATTCAACTAGATTGGGATTAAGAATTAGGGGTTATTTGTTTCAGCAGTTGTCGTTAGCTATTGGCAGCTAGCAATCAATGGTCAATGGTTGGTGACCAGCAATCGGTGGCCACATGATTAGCTGTTCTAATTGATTACAAATTTTTTTTTTTTTTTTTAACTCAACGATTCAAATTGTGCGAATTGACAACTAAAAATGTATAATTTTCTATATTATACGATAAATAGTACTTCTATATGCAAATGTATCTCATAGTAACTCTATATTGTAAGTTTGTCCAACAAAAATGCAAATAACATATAAAGCAACACATATTATGCACGTAAAATTATATCCTAAAAAATTATTAGGATTTATATAAATATAATACAAAGATATGACTGAAGGAACATATTTATATGTAAGCACAAATATTGGATTAGCATATATCTCTCTGAATAAAAAAATATCCTTTAGCTTTTCATAGTAAACCAAGACAATGTTAAATTGCTCTAAATAATAAAAAAGATTTTTATATTCAGTATATATATATATATATATATATATTTTATATTTCAGTATATATATATATATATATATATATATATTATATATATATATATATTTTTTTTTTTTTGCATGTTTATGATTATGGTTTTCTTGTAACTAAATTGATCTGAGATGTCTTTTCTATAGAAAAGCTACCAATTGGGTTCTAGGGCTTGAATTTCTAACATTTGAAGATAAACAGGGTTTAGTTATACTTTTCAACCTAACATTTTAACACCTAATTGCTAACTATAGAATATCATTACCAAACACCCTAAGCGGTCGGAATCTCAATTGCCAAATGCTAGCCCCAGTCGCTGAACTAAAGGGGGCCTTAGTTTAGTTGAGATGTTTTGCATGATTGAAAGCCTGAATCATATTTCAAATTTTGGGGCATTCTTTCCTTCCACCTATGGTGTTCTTTTTTTTTTTTTTTTTTTTTTTTTTTTTTTTTTTTTTTTTTTTTTTTTTTTTCTGTTCTAGAGCAACCTTTTTACCTTAGCACCCTTCACCTGTCTCCATCTTCCATCTCTGTCATTTGTACCTTGAGAAATTTTCCTTTTTTTTTTTTTTTTTTTTTTTTTTTTTCTGTTCTAGAGCACCTTTTTACCCTTACACCCTTCACCTGTCTCCATCTCTGTCATTGGTACCTTGAGAATTTCCTTGCCAAATCTTTTTTTTTTTTCTATGGTTTTCAATATGAAGGTTCACCTTCTTAATTGTTCCTCTCTTCTAAGTGATAATTTCTCTTAGGGGTGGCAACAAGTTGGGTACTTTCAAGTGCCTGAACCTACCTGCTCCTTGGAGAGTTACGAGTTTATAATCAATTATCTGTTTCTGGTTTGGGTTTATAAGATCAATTATTAGCTATTTGAATCTGGTTATATACATTATTACGCAAATATCTTTTCTGGTTTGTTAGTCAAACTCAAGATTAAGAGTTTTTTTCATTTCCTGATTCTTTTGGTCACAATTGAAGGAAATGCTTTAACTTAATGCTGAGGCTATTTCCAGTTTCACTTGTTTTTCAGATAAATAATCTGTGGGTTGTTGTTCCTGCTGAACCTGGAGATAGATTTCTAAGCATGCTGCCACCTTGGCATGCATATGAGCGTGCTTGCGAGTATTTCATAATGGCACATGGTGCTGAGCAAGTATACACAACTGTGAGAAACTTAAAGGTATGCCCTAATTTTTAATTTCATCTTACCTTCTGGTTGTCATTTGTAATAGATGCACAGTTTACTTCCTTTGACATATTTGATATTACCTTAATTGCAATTGTTTTTTTATGGTAGGAAGATCTCCAGCGCTATCAACCAAATTACATGGTCTCTGTTCCTTTAGTATACGAGACACTCTACAGGTCTGTCCACCAAAAGAATTATATCATTCTTAGTGCATTACCATGTGTAGAAGCCTATGCTTTTATTTTAATGTTATTTTTTTTCGAACTTAATGCTACGATTTTATATTTGATCGCTTCCAATAACATACAAACACGAATTATTACTTAATGCCATGATTATCAATGTATTGAAATATTGACCTAAATGGGAGATGGAATTTAGGACTACTTTCTGGATATTATCTAACTTCTAGTATACAATTATTTTTTGTAGAATGTCTTAGTATTCAAGTTTAGATTTATGATGCATTGCCAAGTGTCTTATTCCTTGAATATTAATATGCATAAAATATATTATGCTTTATTTATTTATTTGTTGCGTGCATGACCTTGCATATTCATCTTCAATGAATTTATAAATGGCGAACTCTATCCCGTTGTTAAAGGCACCAGTGTTTTAAATAAAAAATCAAAAACAATAATGAAAATGGTAACAAAAACTGTATTGCAGAGTCAGCTTGAATTGGACTGCATTAGTCTGAAGCAGCTGCCATACTGTATATGTTTTAAGACCCTTAGTATGCTGATTGAAAAATACACAATAGGTTAATAAAATGTAAGTTCAGCAAAAGAATTTAATCAAAGATGCAAGGTACTAAGTGAGTAGTAACTAAAGGAACATTTTACAAATAAATGGCCATTTCACATGTTTTGTCTACCTTTGCTAGGTGATTGGTGAGTCAGCCATTGAGAAATGGAAAATAATGTAACAGGGGGCTAAATTCGTGTTAGTAAATGTGCTATACATCGTGAGATGACTACTATTTAAAACCATGAAGGGCACACCAATATATTTTCTATTGCATTCCTTGATGCTTTGACAATTGAGAAATCTGACTGTCTGTTTAGTTTTGTTGTCTTATCTACTTTATTTTATTGAATGTTTGATTCTATATGCATTACATAAGATCTTTGTGTTGTCTATGTAGAGGAATACAAAAGCAGATTTCTACGAGCTCTACCATTCGTAAACTCGTTGCACTTACATTCATAAAAGTCAGCCTTGCATACATGGAGTTTAAGAGAATTTATGAGGTTTGAAATTTAATATTTTGCCTTTTACTCTTCAAAATATTTGCTGCTTTCTCTATAAGCATGGGGCTAGAATTTGTGAAGCTCCAAGTTTATGAGCTAGAATGATTCTTTCACTGTTACTCACTGTTGCATTCCTGTGATTCTTAGAGCATATAACTGCTTCTCTTGTTATCTTAGAGCTTCTTAAGGACACCTTCACGAGGCATTTTATAAAGTATGTGTCAATGCAATTAGTCAAATCCCGTATAAACCCATTAAAACTGCTGGTTTGTTGGGTTCGCTGTTCATTTCTCATGTTTCTTTTGAATAAGTTTGTACAAGTTCAAGTTCCCAATGGTTATCATTTGCATTACCTTATTAATCTTCATTTCCTTTTTTAGAAAAAAAAATCATTTTGTATTCACCAGTTACAGATCTAATCCTGGGGAGATTTGTCGATTAGGTGCCTTTTAATCTTCAGAATGAAAGTTTTGTTTTTCAAATTTATGAAAGTTGAAATCTAGCTTATGCTCAAGATATTCCTCAAAATTAATTTTAACAATTTAAATATGCCAACACAATCTGCTGTGTGATGAATTTCCTACTATTGTAGGGAACGTATTTGACACAGACTCAGAAGCAACCGTCACATCTTGTTTCACTGTTGGACTGTCTATGGGCAAGAATCCTGGCCACCATCTTGTTTCCAGTGCATATGTTGGCTACGAAGCTTGTTTACAGTAAAATTCAATCTGCAATTGGATTAAGCAAGGTTTTATTTTTCATTCTGTCACTTATTTTATCCCTTCTTTTTTATCAGTGCTCTCTTCTCTTTGGTTCAATGATTTATTCGATTTAAGTTTGCAATACTCTTTGAAAGCTTTAAACACAATTAGAAAAGTCTTATTCCAACCCTTCATTGTTTGTGAAGCGTTTTCATTGTGACATCTATGGTACTTGCAGGCTGGCATAAGTGGAGGTGGTAGTTTACCTTTGTATGTCGATAAATTATTTGAGGTTAGTGGTTCATTCTTTGGTGTGTAACTGAGAGATTTAATTGTGATATCTTATACTATTGTCTATAATGCGTATAGGCAATTGGCGTGAAAGTGCAGAATGGGTATGGCATGACGGAGTCATCTCCAGTTACTGCTGCTCGACGGCCTACCTGGAATGTAAGAGTTGCATACATTTTATGTGAAATTTAAACATTAAATTTGTTAAGTTGAATGTTGACTGGATTAAGCAACAACTGAAACTTTCTGTAATTTGGAGTTGACTTTGCAATTTAAACACTAAGGCGGTTTTCTTGATAGCTGTTGGAGCATTGGACTCCAAAATTTTGAGCTTGTACACAAGATGGTCCTGTATGAGGAAACTTCATATTAGTTTATACAAAACCAGTATGGATACTCACATATTCGAACAATGGAATCACAATTAGACAAACCAGGCAAGATGACCATGAACAACCTATCTTATACACAGTAGTGATCCAACAAATAATATCATGCTTCTGTTTTTTTTTTTTCTTTCTCGTCTTTTTTTTTTCTAATGTTAGGATTAGTGCAATCATAACACTCAGTTCAATGCTGAAATGTGATCTTATGCCTATAAAAATTTGGATGTCAAACTTATGATTTTTTATTTTATTTTTTTTGTCTTCTATATAAATATATATAGGGTCAAGAAGATAAGAACTTGAAACCTAATCAATTCTTTCTGGTTGTCCAACATCCATGATACAAGTGTCCTTTCATACTAGAAATACTATTGAGGCTTTTTCCCTGTTTGCTGCATTGCATCAAACCACCAATTAATTTGGGATTAAGGCTTAGTTTGTTGTTATTGGCGGTGTTATTTGTTGCTGCATTGCATCAACATTGAAGGCTCACTGATTGGTTGGCCAACCAAGATATGGTTTTAGAAGGTTATCATAAACTAAAATAAAAATCAGGATCCTGAAATTACAATAGATTTCATCTATGATTTATTAATCCCCTTGTTTCTTTCAAGTGGGATATGATCCTTGCAGCTGAATTTTACTGATCATAAAATGAATTAAGTATCAACTAATATTCCTTGTAGTGAAATTTAGCTAACTGTTGATATACACTAACTATACTCTGTTTTGCAAGGCATGAGGGCTAAGAAAGAGTTGACTTCATTATGAAGCCATCTATGATTATGTTGTCAAAAATACATTATAATCATGTGAAATTAATTTTAGTCTTTCTTTTTTTGTCACCATGTGAGAAACTTTTGATTTACTCTTAATTAGGGTTTCTCTAATCTTTTCTAAATTGAGCATATTTTGATATTTTTTTTTTTTTTTACTTCAGAACTATGGTCTGAATTTCTAATATTGGCTATAGCTTAGCTTTCTATTAATCTTTTTTCATGTCATTATTATGTGCCTCTAATAAGTTCAAAGTTGAAGTCAGCTTTTTTTCTCTTAAAGGTCATATAGAGTTATGAGTTGCTAAAGTCTATATGCATTCACATAGCTTGATGTGTTATACAAAACAACATAGGTTTTTGGATGTTAAACCTTTCAAGCAACATTTGAGATTATGTTACAATTTTGTTTGGACATCTAGCTTGCAATCCAATCTTTCTTTTTTTTTTTTTTTTTTTTTTTTTTTTTTTTTTTTTGTTTGGACAATCTTGCTTGCAATCCAATTCGTTTCTTTTTTTTTTTTTTTTTTTTTTTTTTTTTTTTTTTTTTTTTTAACATAGAATACCACTGTTCCACGTATATAGAGTTAGGAATAGCCATCAGTGGGTTCTTTCTTTTGGTTCCAGATGTGATCCAAATTCAACCTCTTATTAAAGCACTCGCATTTGCCTGATCCAGTGATCTTAGCTGTCATTTCTCAAAGGAGTCCTGTGTGAGTTTTTTTTTTTTTTTTTTTTTTTTTTTTTTTTTTTTTTTTTTAACATAGAATACACTGTTCACTATATAGAGTTAGGAATAGCCATCAGTGGGTTCTTTCTTTTGTTCAAATGTGATCCAAATTCAACCTCTTATAAAGCACTCGCATTTGCCTAATCCAGTGATCTTAGTCTGTCATCCTCAAAGGAGTCCTGTGTGAGTTTGTCCTCGACCACTCATGTTAAATTATCTTCTCTTTCAAGTCTTAAAGGTTTTGTAATTAGTTAAAGGAGCCCTTTTTTCATATTTTTATTAATTGTTTCTCTAGTTTTAAGATTACCAATGATTTCATGTATCTTATTTTGTCATCTACTTCCAATTGTTTATCTTGCCTCTTCTATTATGTCTACCTTCAGATAGAGTTAAGTATTCCGTAACACTTCCAGATTTAAATTGTGAAGGTTCTCGGCTCAATTGGCCCTCCACTTCCAGATACAGAATTCAAAGTTGTAGATGCTGAAACTGGAGAAACTCTTCCAGATGGATCAAAAGGGATCGTGAAAGTTAGGGGCCCACAAGTGATGAAAGGTTATTACAAGGTGATATTTTCCCTAAGATACTCTTCGTTCTTCTGTCAGATGAAATTTTATTATGTTAATGGATATCGTCTAAATTCTGGTGAATATTAAAAATAAAGCTGAGTTATTAGCATATTTGTAAGGGCATTTGCTAAATTTCTGTGTTTTTATAGGAAAAGTGGGATGGAAATGGAGTTGAAAAACTCATCTTTTTTTCTTTTTGATAAGAAAAAAAAGTTAATTTACTGTAGTAATTTCTTGAAGTATGAACTACAAGTTGGTAATTTACTGGCAATTTGGTGTATATTTTCATTTATAAGTAACTAGTTGAATTCTCTTTTAATTTGTTCAAATATTATTAAATAATTACACGATCCAATAAAATATTATAAATCTAATCAAAAACATATTTTTAAATTTACTTATCAATTGAGATTTGTAAAAATTTGGAAAATGTTCTAACTGATTCTAAAATTTAGGATATTGTTTAAGCATGCAGAAAGAATTTTACTTTCGAATGAACACTATTTATTATGTTGAAATGCCTTAATCTTTTAGTTATGCACTAGAATTTATTTAAAAGATGTTCAAGCTAATCCCCATAATTGGTGTCTTTTCCTTTAGTAGTCTTTAGACATTTTAGAAGACATTTATATTTGGGAAAAAAAAAAATCGTTATTATAATCAAAATCTGTGTCCAAAAGTTCTAAATTTTGGAAAACTTGCAAAAGTCATTCTATCTAATGAAAATAATAATAAATAATAATAAATTGTCCTATTGCATTAATGTTTTATTCTTGGAGTCAAAAAGAGAATGATGGTTGGTTCATTAAATATTACTCCATTCCATATTGTTCCTTTATTACATTTTCTATTTCAGTCCATAGCAACAAACTAAATGTAACTGAAGCCAATTTATGAAATCTCAAATTACTGGTGTAAAGAACCTGTTTTTACTCTGATTAGGGTCATGTTGTGAGCTCAAATTCATAATCATATGTGCTCTTTCTTCTAGGATTTGTCTAGAAGTTCCTTTCCTTCCTTTTTTTGGGATTTATTCTGTTATTAAGTTGTCTATCGATCATTATGTCAAGTTGAATTTATGATTGCTTGCTTCCTCATAATGTTAATTGTTCTAAATCTTTGTGTTAATGTTTCACCAGAATCCATGGGCCACAAAGCAAGTGATAGATGAGAATGGTTGGCTGAGCACTGGTGATATAGGTTGGATTGCTCCTCACCATTCAATTGGCCGAAGTCGTCGTTGTGGAGGTGTTATTGTTCTTGAAGGGCGTGCTAAGGATACTATAGTTCTTTCAACAGGTATAATCAAGTATATGGTTTTCCTAGTACAACATGGGAAATTTCGAATCCTCTCTTAGGAGATCCTCATTTCATTATAAATGATATGCGTTCAGAATGTGAAATATTTTTATGAGATATAGATTATGCATGTGTATTAGCAGCCCCTTTGACTACTTCACTAATGCACAATGCATATTTTGTTGTTGTGTCACCACACTCATTCTTTTAATGGAAAGAGATTTGTTGAATAGCCTTTTTAAAAAACTATCAATTTCTCCTTGAGTATTGATTACTGCAGTCTTCTCTTTTATCATTGACTTTGTAATATGCCTTTTCTGAAGATGAAAAAAATGATCACATCATTATTAAAATGGTTTGCACCATTAAGCTAGGTTTATAAATGTGGCAGTCATGAACATTTTCATTGATTAGGGATCTAATGGAATCAGGTCGTTTGCAGATACCTCAAAATTTCAAGCCACTTCTATACATTTATTATCTATTTTGAATGTTAAACCAGCAGTGTGTGGAGTTATCTAGTTCAACTTTATTTTTCTACGAAAATTGGTACTCAGGTCTTTTCCAACTTTTTTGGAATGAAATAGGTGAAAACGTTGAGCCATCAGAGCTTGAGGAAGCTGCTATGAGAAGTGCTCTAATTCAACAAATTGTTGTTATTGGCCAAGTATATTCGAATGATCTGTTCCCTAGTAGTTTGCAGTATTTGGACATATTTTGAGAAATTTTCCTTACTTTTCAGTTGATGAATATGTTTAATATTATTATATACAGGATCAACGTCGTCTTGGAGCTATAGTTGTTCCAAACAAAGAAGAAGTACTGCGAGCTGCAAAAATGATGTCTATTATAAATAGCAATGACTCTGAGCTCAGCAAGGAACAGCTTACAACTCTTGTGGATGAAGAATTGAGGAAATGGTACCGCCCTTGAACTTGATATTTAAATGCCAAATCAACAATTAACTGCAATATCACTTATTAAGGACTTCTCTTTTAATTAAATGGAAATCCTTAAGCTGTCTTGTTATGATGGTTGTAGTTTAGAATAATCAGAAAGATGTGGCAATCTCAAAAAGATTTATTTAAAAACAATAGCAGCGGATTTCTTGTAATATGTGTTAGGAAGTTTGCATTATTTAACTCTCTGGCTTAGATTAATTGTTGATCTAACTCAGCACTTTGATGAGCAGGACATCGGGCTGTTCATTTCAAATTGGACCAATTCTTATTGTGGATGAGCCCTTTACTGTAAGCTGTTCTTTTGTTTTGTTCTCGTTTGATTTTATGAAGCAACATTTGCCATTTCCTCAATTATATTCTTTTATTACAGATTGAAAATGGGATGATGACTCCAACCATGAAAATCAGAAGGGACAAAGTCATGGACAAGTTGAGAGAGCAGATTGCCAATCTCTACAAATAGACGCTTCGTATAGACTTCAAAAACACTCATAATATTCTTTGCAGATTGAAAAATCCGTGGCCCAGCCGAGGCCAGTCCATGAACTCATAGATTTACATAATAGAGGGCCTTGTTAAGTAGGCATAAGAAAATAGTTTTTTGTGTGCTTCCGGCTTTGTAATTTAAGTGAATAAAGGGCCGTGTAAGTGGCCTTAAGAAAATGAAGGGCCTGGTTAAGTAGCCATAAGAAACGGATTATAAATATCTGATGGATGCAATGATAATCTCTAAGCATTAGGGATTGAGAATCTAATTTTAGATGAGTACCTGTTCGGATTAATAATAGAACTATCAACATCAACTTGATAATCAAAAGTATCATATTGCGTCAAATGCTCAAGTAATAGAGTCCTAAAGTCTCCTCTGCTTTGATAAATCTTCCACCCTTTACTCCTTAATCGAATTGCTTCAAATAATTTCTTTATTTTTCTTTGGGTTAGTTGCAATTTTATTGTATGAACTATTTGAAATTTTTTATTTTGGTGTATGAATGGAAAAAGTTTAGAATTTAGTGTTTAAACTTCCAATTATTACAATTAAGTGCAATCAGCCCACAAGGATTGCCGAAACAACTGTAGCATCGTTGTGCCTCACTTTTTCATTTTATAATTACTGTTTGTACGTCACATTGGATGACATGTGGATTAAAAATATACCCCTCCTTACTATTAAAAAAAATATATATACCCCCTCCTGTATCTCATTCTCCTCTCCCTTTTTCCTTTCCGGTTCAAAATTTAGAAATAACTATCATTTAAAATTTCTGTGTTTAGTTTTATATAGACGGCAGACTCTATTAATTTTAAACTTTATGAATCAATGCTGACTGCCTGTAGATTACAAAATGTTGCGCCGCATTTTTGTAAACTTCCTTTTTCCTCATTTTTAATGCACATGGCAGTCCACGTGTCATCTGGATGTGTCGCATAAGCAGCAATTAGAAAATGAAAAAGTGCAGCTCACCCATCTTACAGTTATTTTGACTATACATGTGGACTGGTTTCAATTATTGGGAGTTTAAATACTAAATTGTAAATTTTTTCCATTTATGCAATAGAATAGAAATTTTCAAATAATTCATACACTAAAATGCAATTAACCCTTTTTCTTTCTAGCAGCGGAACCAGAATTATCATTCTTTTTTAACGACACAGAGTTAAGTCAGTTTCCACTTAGGGAAATTATACTCTTGCATTAACCATCAGCGTTGGATTCTTATAATTAAACCTTTTCTTTAATCTATATGGACTAAAATTACCCATTTTTAGATTGCGCATAGTAAAAGTAGAACAAAGAATAAATAAATTTTGCATGTATCTATAGAAACTATTGTTTCTGAATATAAATATATAAATCCATATATAAATGTATCTACCATTAAACCAAGGGTAATAATGTTCAATTTTTACCACCAAAATTTCTTATTTTACCATCATTCTTATGTGTGTATATAAATATATGAATTTAAAATCTTTAAAAATTTGGTTAATCAAGATGAGTTGATCTCTAATTGTTTTGATTTCTCCACCAAATTCATGACAACACTGTTAATTGCTAAGAGCAAGGAAGTTTTTGTATTAATTAATTATTGATTTCTCTGAATTGATTATTTTCTAGGTTTCTCTAATTTTTAAAACGCCGCGAGATTTATCAAAGCAATTTATAATTAATTATTATTTGTTAATAAATATTTTTTTCTTAATCAAAACACTAGTATTATTCTAATGATATGCTAATTACACAAGATGACTTTACTCTTACATTTGAGGTAAGTAATCATTAATATGTTAAATTATTTTTTTAATTTTTAATTAATTTGAATCCTATTGTTGACCTGTTAATTTATTTAATCCGTTAACTGATTAAGTAAGCACAATTACAATTTAATTTTTAATTAATTAAGAGAGCAAACAATACTAGATATGGATTCCCAGTTGGAATTGGAATGAAGAGTCTGGATGGATGTGTTAACAGAGTGTCAAGATTAATGCGTGTTGATATATTTTTGTATAATTTTTTTTTTTTTTTATTTCAATGTTATTGTGGTTTGAAATAATTAATAATATTATAAGTATAACAAAAAAATTATGTATGAAAAGATTGGATGAAAACTAGTATCATTAAATGCGTGTGTGTATCCCGCAAATTAATGATATTAACGATGTAAGGATCTTAATGATGATTAAGATTCTCTCCGAATACTAATCCAGTTACTGGGTTGAGGAAAATAACGGTAAAAACAGAAGCTGTCACACTCATACTTGAGAAACTTGATTCTCAAGTATCCGACTAAACTAGTTTTATCAATATCAACTCAGTTTCTTTATTATATTCACTACTAATCTAATACTTCAAATCCCACAACCTATCGCAATTTCTCTAATGGCGGTGATAAAGAAGCCAGTCAAGAAGATGGCAAAGAAGCAGAGTATCACTACTGGCCTTACTTTAGAAAGCTCGCATGGAGTTTCTTGGGTCAGACTGTTCTTACTTGGAAAAGGCGGATTCGGTTCTGTTTTTTACGCAGAAAGAAAAGAACCCTTGAAGCAAGATTCTGATCTTCCCTTTCAAATGGCGGTGAAATCAGCAAAAATGGATCGCTCATCTTCACTTCAGTACGAGAAACAAGTTTTTTCTGATCTCGGTACAAGCCCTTACGTGGTTCGTTGCTATGGGGATGAAGTAACTGAGATAAGCAACGGTGAGAAGATATACAACTTGCTTTTGGAGTTCTGTTCTGGTCTTAGTTTAAGCGAGCATATTAGATTATCTGGCGGTGGATTGCCTGAGATTGTAGTTCAGAATTACACGCGGGACATTCTTCGTGGTTTGAATTACATTCATAGTCACGGTTATGTTCATTGTGATATCAAGCCAGGTAATATCTTACTTGTGCCTGGTAGTGGCGAAATGGGTGGGAACTATATGGCGAAAATTGCTGATTTTGGGTTGGCGATGGCAGTGCAAGGAAAGGAAACAGAGTGTTCCGGTTTGAGAGGAACAAGCATGTATATGTCGCCGGAATTGGTCAAGGATAGAAAACTGGACTATTCTGCAGATATATGGGCACTTGGTTGTGTTGTGTTGGAGATGCTAACAGCAAAACCAGTCTGGGATTATTCTGATACAGCTCATATGCTTTTTGTGATTGGTTATACTGATCGAGTGCCTGCGATACCTGACCATGTCTCAGAGGAAGCGACGGATTTCTTGAGTTGGTGCTTCGACAGAAGAGTTGGTCAGAGATTGTCTGCTGATAGGTTATTAGAACACCCCTTTGTTTCCATGGATGATTGGTGAAGAAAGGAACTATACTAAACACTATTTTTGGTTTCTCATTTTTGTCATATTTGGTGATTTGCTTCACTTCTTATACAGTGAAAGCTTCCAATTTTGTATCTTTTTAATACAATGTGGGTGAGTTTATGAGATTCAGTCTGTTCTTCCTCAGGCTTAGTAGCAGTTGGCTTTTATGTAGAGCAATTAAACGACAAGAGACATAAACAGTCTTCAAGGCTGATGACTTGTCGTATCATGTCACCAGAGAAGGATAGCATTTTTGTTTTGAATGAGCTAGAAAGAGAACACATAGTTTGAGGCCAATTTGTCACAGTGGATCATCAGAGGGAAGAAATTTATGTTTGATCAGTGTGTTTCATGTGTAGCAAACAGATACTGAAAGTTAATAGCATTGCAATCTCTATGTAGAACTGCCAAAAGTATATAATAGTAATATTTTCTGTATACTTAGAAGTTGATTTCAAAATTAAAGTTTAGAAAATGAGAATCACATTTACAGTCATTTACTTCTGCCATACTTTTATATATCTAATGTATTCTGTAAGATAATTAGATTCTTCTTTCTTCCTTTGTTTCATATCCCTTGTTATTCTAAACTCATCTCAAGTATTACAGCAATGGAATTTGAATTTGGGCGTACCATATCTGTCAGGACCAAGTGTTCATAAGGAGAGCTTATACCCTGCTTCAGAATCCACCCCTCCAACTGAATACTAATCTTTGCATGAGATGAATATATCGTATAGCATAAAAGTCAATTAAAAGAAAATTATTTCAACAATTTGGGAGGAAAATCTCTGGGAGTGTTTCAAGCATTGGCTGCCATGGAAGATTTTGCTTTTAAAACAATGTTCTAAGAACACTCTGCAACCAATGCGCTGCTTTGGAGAAAACAGAGGAAATCACGCTCATAGTTAACTTGCTAAGAAGGAAAGACAATTAGCCTCTTTTCAAAAGCAAAAAGGACTGATTGGTAGATGAGAAAGAGAGGGAAAATAGAGGGAAAGTGTTATTTATTCAATTTCTAACAGTTATTATTTAGTTGACCACTACTTATCAACCTATTATTGGTTGGTTAATTTTTTTTTTGAATAAAATTAATTAAAATTAATCTATATAAAAAAAAAAAAGGACTCAGTGACAGACGGCACGAGTGCAAATTGAAAATCATCGGAGATTGCAGGGTTAGCGTTTTCCGATTCTTCCGTCTGAGGTATAATCTTCCTGTTCCAATCAATCATATTCGTTACAGAACAGAAATCTACCATTTCTGTATGGATTATTTGTTGACTGATGTTTATTTTATGAACGAAGATCCGTCGACTTTTGAAATTTCCTGTGGTCTCACTCTTTTCAAGGTCAGTTTTCTGTTTCCTGCTAGTTGTTTGGTTGCTAAGAAATGGTAGAAAGCAAGGGAATAATGAAGGAAGGATTTCCACTGAATTTCTTGCTTTCTTTTCGTCTCTTGGGAAGTACTTTTCCATTTTGTCTCAAAAATTCAATGCCGCAATTATTAATACGTTGCCTTAACCATACTCTGTGTTTAAACTAAGCTAATCTCACCTGAATTTGGCATCGAACTATGGCATTTATCTCTTTCTTTCTTCTTTTTCTCTCTCTTCCACCATCTCATCTCATCTTCTCTTTTCTCCGTGGCTCGAAAGCCAGTGAGCATCTCCGCCGAGCTCTGTCGCACAATGTAGTCTCTGACCATCTCCATCCTAGCCGCTTGTTGTTCTGTTTCATTAAAATTCTTTGTTTTTTTTTATTTTTGTTTACAATTATGTTTGGTGAATTTTGAAATTTTTGCTTGTTTAATTGTTTCTCTCTCAAACTCATTCGTTGCGGATTATACAATATAAATTTATTGATTGCGTACATTTTTGTGTTGCTTTATGGGTTTTATAGTATTTTCAGTTGCTTAATAAACTAAATACATATTTTATGAAATTGAAATAGTTATGTTGTTCTTCCTATTTCAGTTCTGGTTTAGAATCAAATTTTTGTGGAATTGATTGATTGAAGTTAAATTTGGTTTATCTGAAAGTTCTTTCTTTTTAATAGATAGAGCAGAAATGACCGACAGTCAACTCTTCAACAATATCTCTCTCGGCGGCCGCGGAGGCACCGTAAGCTCTCTTTTCTTTTATCAGCTTTACAAAGTTTAGTTTTCCATTTGATTTATTTTTCTGCTTTTAGTAACTCTTAAATTTTGGTAATTATGATAGTCAAAAAGTGGAAAAGTAGAATCTCATAGATGTGGTTTATTTGGTCTAATTTGAAATGCAGAATCCTGGGCAGCTTAAGATACATTCTGGAGGAATCCTTTGGAAGAAACAAGGAGGTGGTAAAGCAGTGGAAGTAGATAAAGCTGATGTTGTAGGAATAACATGGATGAAAGTACCAAGGACAAATCAACTTGGAGTCAGAATCAAAGATGGATTGTATTACAAATTCTTTGGATTCCGGGATCAGGTCTCCTCCTTACCCCCATCCCAGCCCACCCAAACCCCCTCTCGGCACCCCCCAATTGCATGATATGTCAAAAAGTGAAAGTTAGAATCTATAGAATTTGTGGTTTATTTGGTTCTAATTTGAAATGGCAGAATCCTGGGCAGCTTAACGTACATTCGGAGGAATCCTTTGGAAGAAACAAGGAGGTAGGGTAAAGCAGTGGAATCAGCATAAGCTTGGATGTGTAGGAATAACATGGATGAAAGTAACCAAGGAAGCAATCAAACTTTTGGAGTCAGAATCAAAGATGGTATTGTATTTTACAAATTCTTTGGATTCCTGGATCAGGTTCTCCTCCTTTACCCCATCCCAGCCCACACCAAAACCCCCTCTCGGCACCGCCCCCCCCCTTCCAGTTGTTATTATTAAGTTGGAAAGTCCCCCCCCCCCCTTCCAGTTGTTATTATTAAGTTGGAAAGTTTCACATCTCAAAGTCTCCATATTACTTGATGTGGCTTCCATTACTATGGAAATGCATGCAATTGTTTACCAATATTTTTTTATTTACTGGATTAATATACTGCTTCGCAGCTTGCTTTGACAAACTGATGGTAATTTATTTCAAGTTCTCATTACATTTAATTTTCTGCATGCATTTATAATTTTAGATTCTCTAAAAGATCACCTTCAAACTTTATATTCTAATGGTTGTCTTTACTGTCTTATGATCCCGGTTCTCACCTGTTGCAGTTTTCAGTTATCATTTTAATGGAACTATTTTTGGCTTTCCCTTGACAAACATTGTATAGGATATTCATAATTTCCCAATTGTCATTTATTTTCTCATCCTGGCTTTATAGGACCTTGCAAGCTTGACCAATTATTTCCAGAGCACTTGTGGAATAACACCAGAAGAGAAGCAACTTTCAGTCAGTGGCCGTAATTGGGGAGAGGTTGATCTAAATGGTTGGTAACTATATTCTTCATTAGATTCTCAGGAACAACTAGTTGGATTTGTCTTGCCATTTTAATTTCATACAACCTTTGCTCTTTATGATGGTTGGTTAGCTTCTTATATTGGTGCTGCTACTACTTTCATAGCATGTGTGCTGCTTATATATTGTCTTGACGACTTGCATGCTTTTTCCAGGAAATATGCTCACTTTTTCAGTTGGTTCAAAGCAAGCATTTGAAGTATCATTAGCAGATGTCTCACAAACACAGCTGCAAGGGAAAAATGATGTCATCTTGGAGTTCCATGTGGATGATACAACTGGAGCTAATGAGGTTTATTTTTATTATTTACACTGTTCATTCTTCTGGAACAGTCTTAGTTGTCTTGCAACATTTCATATGCATGGTTTTACCTGTGGTGGCCCTTCCCCAAATCATCACTTGACTTGCTATGAGATTGTAACGTATATGACTAGTGGGAAATAATTTATCAATTCTAGTTTTTTTTTTTTTTTTTTTCTGTGGTGGCCCTTCCCCAAATCATCACTTGACTTGCTATGAGATTGTAACGTATATGACTAGTGGGAAATAATTTATCAATTCTAGTTTTTTTTTTTTTTTTTTTTCATTTAAAAGTGAGATTATTATTTCTTAAAGTGTAGCGATTTATGCTTACAGAAAGACTCATTGATGGAGATAAGTTTCCATATACCTAGTAACAATGCCCAGTTTGTTGGTGATGAAAATCATCCTCCTGCACAGGTAGTTGCTGATTCTTATTATTCTTGTTGTATGTGCTTCTTCATTTAATAACAAAGTAATTTTGAATGGAGGTATCAGGTTCAAGCATATGTATAGTCTCCAACTGTCCAATGATTTATTATCTATTAACTTCGTACAAGGTTTTCCGGGACAAAATTATGTCAATGGCAGATGTTGGTGCTGGAGGTGAAGAGGCTGTTGTTACATTTGATGGTGTTGCAATCCTGACACCAAGGTAAAAACCATGGAATCAGCATGTACACATGTTCACATACTTTCATGGCTAAATTGAAGACAACCAGGGGACATCATGTCTCTGAATGTTGTTGCATTTCACATGTTGGCTTTCTGATGTTACTTTCTGTATTTGCACATCACATGAAAAATATTTTTTTAGGGGTCGTTACAATGTCGAACTTCATTTGTCATTCTTGCGGCTTCAAGGACAGGCCAACGATTTCAAAATTCAGTACAGCAGCGTTGTTCGCCTCTTTTTACTTCCTAAGGTTTTCCCCCATCTTTATTGGCACTGGCTGTGTCTGTGAAACTGCCAATGAGCTTATTTTCTGTCTTCATAATCATGCTGTATTTTCTTGATTGCCTTTGAGTTGAGAGTCATTGCAGCTTGTTCTTTGACAAACTTTTCTTGAAAAATATTATGGACTTTTTTTTCCCTTCTACAGTCTAACCAGCCACATACCTTTGTTATTGTCACTCTTGATCCACCAATCCGCAAGGGCCAAACTTTGTATCCACACATTGTGTTACAGGTATCATTCAGTTGGATTTGGTTTTCTTATAATTATTGCTTTCTTGCACTTATTGTTTATTCTATTTTTTGGTATAGTTTGATACCGACAATGTGATCCAGAGCTCTTTGTCAATAAATGAAGACCTTTTGAGCACAAAGTACAAGGACAAATTAGAACCATCTTATAAGGTACTAGTTATGCCTTTATGTTGTCTTTTCTGCTCTAGACAGGTTCAAATACATTTGTATTTAAAGTCCAGAGAGAGAATGTCTTGCAAATTCTTCACAAGATTGAATTGCCTTAACATGCTTGGTTGCTCATCAAACAGGGTCTCATTCATGATATGTTTACAGCAATACTGCGTGGCTTGTCTGGTGCTAAAGTAACTAAACCAGGAAAATTCCGTAGCTGTCAAGATGGTTATGCTGTGAAGTCGTCATTGAAAGCTGAAGATGGCCTCTTATATCCACTTGAGAAAAGCTTCTTCTTCTTACCCAAGCCTCCAACCCTTATTCTTCATGAAGAGGTATAATGTTTTTTTATTTTAGCTGGTGGAGTAATACATAGTATTTGTTTATTCAATTTGGACCTGTTCCTAGTATTTGTTTATTCAATTTGGACCTGTTCCTAATAGTTTCCCTTTGGTGCATATGCAAGATTGATTATGTTGAATTTGAGAGGCATGCTGCTGGTGGCTCAAATATGCATTACTTTGATCTCCTTATCAGACTCAAAACTGAACAAGAACATCTGTTTCGGAACATCCAGAGAAATGAGTACCATAATCTTTTTGACTTCATTAGGTATGTGGCCTTCTCGTTTCTGTGCATAGCTTGGCTGTGATTTCATATTCTGTAGCTTTATGCTTCATTTGTCCATACAGTGGGAAGGGTATGAAAATTATGAACCTGGGTGATGTGCAAACCACAAATGGAGTGGCTGCTGTTCTCCGGAACAATGATGATGATGCTGTTGACCCGCATCTTGAGCGTATTAAGAATGAAGCCGGAGATGAAAGTGACGAAGAGGTGAAATTTTTAGTTAATGTTGAAATTTGTGATATATCTTCCGTAAGCTTGGAGACACTGTAACGTAACTGGTGGAATTCATTTCATTTATGTAACATGTGGATGTGTATGCATGTGTTAGGCACACACAGAAATATACACACTCAAATGAATCTAATATTTGCAGGATGAAGATTTTGTTGCTGACAAAGACGACGAAGGCTCACCTACTGATGATTCTGGGGAGGACGATTCTGATGCTAGTGAAAGCGATGGTGAGAAAAAGGTAAGACATTATATGTCAATTTCTTTCTGCAGACATAAGATTGACATTACTGAAACTAATTTTTAGATGTTTATCTGTTGTATGTCTTATATCAAATGTATTGTGATTTCAGAAGCCTATGAAAAAGGAATCTACTAAGGAGCCTTCATCTTCTAAGCCAGCATCTAAGAAGAGATCCAAAGATGCAAATGAGGATGCATCTAAGAAGAAAAAACCGAAAAAAAGAAAGGATCCAAATGCACCAAAGAAGGCAATGTCTGGTTTCATGTTCTTCTCGCAAATGGAAAGGGAGGTGAGCTTAATACTCTTCCATTGCAATCAAATCAAAGATATCTAGTTGGATTATACTTCGCTCGAAGAAGCTGCTAATTTTGACATGTCTATGACAGAATGTTAAGAAAAGTCATCCCGGCATTGCTTTTGGTGGGGTTGGCAAAGTTCTTGGAGATAGGTGGAAACAATTGTCAGGTTTGTGATTTTAGTTGTCTTGTTACTTATTTTAGATGGTCATTGTCTGTATTGAGGTTTTTCTGTAATTAATTTGCAGCGGAGGAGAAAGAACCATACGAAGCTAAGGCTCGAGCAGATAGAAAGCGTTATGAAGAGGAAGTTAGCGGCTATAAGAACCAGCAGCCAGTGAATGTGGACTCGGTGAATAAATCTGATAATGAATAGATAGTAATGTTACTGATTTCTCAATTTTGAGACTCAGAGGAGAGGAATCCTTTTCTGTTTAAAACCGTTATCTCGTTTTAGATTTTCACGAGGGAAATCATTCGCGCGTTGCGGCGAATGTATTGTTCTATTGATTTTTTAAAATTTTGTTTTATAATCATTCAATTATTAGTTCGATTTATTTATTTTTTTACATTTAGATAATTTAAGTTATTTACAAACATATTAGAAGTATTTAAATACCACGTAATTAATTAAGAGCATAAATTTGAATTATGTTTAACAAATTAAATTCACCATTCAGTATTTTATTTCGATTTAGTACAAAAGGTAAATGACAAGAAAAATTCCCTCTCAAAAAAAAAAAATGATAAAAAAAATATGCTTTGGGAATTATTATTAATTTGTTCAATTTATATTATATTTTAAATTTTGAATATTAAATTAGAGTTGTGCTAAATGCACAACTAGGGCCTAATGCAACTTTCGCTTGTCTATACGTTCAATGCGGTGGAACTTTTACATGCCTCTATATGTTCAATGCGGCAGATTTTGCTTGCCATCTGCACAGAAATATTTTAAATATTTTAACTCGCATTTTAGATATTTTAACCCGTTTGCCTGTAATATACACAAAAGCATTTTAGATATATTTTAATCTGCTATAGTTGTGTCAAATTCAAGTTGCACTAATCATATTTTTCGATTGAATTAAACATTACATTATTATGGAGAATAAGAATTTATTTTTTTGTTTCTTAAAAATTATTTCACTATTATTTTTTTATAATAACTTTTTGTATAATTTACTCCTTAAGCTTGCACTAAAAGAACAAAATGTTTAATTTTTCATAAAATCATAACTGATAAAACTCATTTAGAAAGTTCAAAATTAGGAAAGAAAAATTATTTAAATACATAACAATAATTATAAAAAAGTACAGTATCTTGTTTTTGATTTAGAAAATAATTAAATAAAATATTTGATTTAAAAAAATATTTATTATTTTTTGTTTAATTATTTCTTAATTATATTTTAAATCAATATTAATTTTTTAATTATATTTTGTTCTAAATTAAATATTTATTTCTTTTTGAGTAAAAAATTAAAATTTTTTTATTCTTTTGATGCGAGTTACAAATTGTAAAAAAATTAATTTGTAGATATATTAAATATTATTTTAACTTCCAGAGCAAATTGAGATTTATTCTTATTCCTAAATTAAAAGATTATAATTTTATGAGCATTCTAAGAACTTAAAGTTCACATTTATATAAAAGATCTATTAATTCAAACATTTAATTAATAAAAAAAAGAGAAAATTCACAATTAAAAAAAAAAAAAAAAAAAAAAAAAAAAACAACTGAAAGAGAGAGGAAAGAGAGAACGGCAAAGATTCGTACGCTAGTGCACTGTGTTACGTTCGTAGACATTTTACCGTGAAAAAGCTTCCTCGCTTGTATGTTAGACTTCGCCGTCAAACAACGGCCGCTGGGACCAGCCCATTCTACCGCGTTGCCTAAGAAACGACGGGACAATAAACAATATGAGGCTTAATGCATTTGCTAAAAAAAAAAAAAAAAAAAAAAAAAAAGAGAGAGAGAGAAAGAGAGAAACGGCAAAATTCATACGCTATGCACTTGTAAGTCGTAGACATTTTACCCTGAAAAGCTTCCTCGCTTGTATGTTAGACTTCGCCGTCAAACCAACGCCGCTGGACCAGCCATTCTACCCGCTGCCTAAAGAAACGAAGGGAACAATAAACAATAGAGCTTAATGCATGCTAATCTCTCACTATCTCCACCAACTCCAATTCTGCGCCAAACGCCGAACCCCGTTAATTGCCAAGAAACTCCATGCTCAAGTCATCAAAATAGGCATATACGAAACCAAACCCATACCGAATACTATTCTCGATGTTTATGGAAAATGTGGCCTTCTTCAATATGCAGATTACATGTTCGACGAAATGCCCAACAGAGACCAAGTCTCTTGGGCCTCCATTCTCACTGCATACAACCAAGCCAACCTCCCTAATAGAACTCTGTCCATTTTCCCTAACATGTTTATATGTGATATGTTGCAACCCGACCATTTTGTGTATGCGACTCTTGTTAAGGCATGTGCCAGCTTAGGCGCTATAAGGCAAGGGAAGCAAGTGCATGCGCAATTTGTTTTATCGCCATTTTATGATGATGATGTTGTTAAGTCGTCTTTAGTTGATATGTATGCAAAATGTGGATTACCCAATATTGCTCGTGATATTTTTGATTCTATTTTGGCGAAAAGTCCAGTTTCTTGGACTGCAATGATATCTGGGTATGCCACGAGTGGATTAAAGGAAAAGGCTATGGAACTGTTTTCCATGGCGCCAGTGAGGAATTTATATTCCTGGACTGCTCTAATATCTGGGTTAGTGCAGAGTGGAAATGGGATTGATGGTTCTTACTTATTTCTTGAAATGAGAAGAGAAGGAATTGATATAGTGGACCCTTTAGTTCTTTCAAGCGTTATAGGTGCTTGTGCTAATTTGGCTGTACTGGAGTTTGGAAAGCAGATTCATGGCCTTGTCATAGCACTTGGCTATGAGTCATGCTTGTTTATAAGTAATGCTCTTGTTGATATGTATGCAAAATGTAGCGATTTTTTAGCAGCCAAATACATTTTTGCTCAAATGATCCGTAAAGATGTTGTTTCTTGGACTTCTATGATAGTCGGGGCAGCTCAGCATGGAAGAGCCAGTGAAGCTTTAGATTTATATGAAAAAATGGTTTTAGCTGGAGTAAGACCAAATGAGGTGACCTTTGTTGGATTGATTTATTCTTGCAGCCATGCTGGGTTAGTTGACAAAGGCCGAGAACTTTTTAACACCATGATTGATGATTATGGAATTAAACCTTCATTGAGACATTTCACTTGCTTATTAGACCTTCTTAGCCGATCTGGGCACCTTGATGAGGCTGAAAATCTCATTACTGCAATGCCATTTAAGCCTGATGAACCTACATGGGCAGCTTTACTAAGTGCTTGCAAGCACCATCGAAATACCCAAATGGGGCTTAGAATTGCCAATAAGCTGTTGAGCTTGAATCCAGAAGATCCTTCAACCTATATACTGTTATCTAATGTTTATGCTGGTGCAGGAATGTGGGAAAAAATGTCGACAGTGAGGAAGTTGATGGCAGCCAAGGAAGTCAAAAAGAAACCGGGTTATAGCACCATTGCCTTGGGGAAGGAAATTCAAGTATTTCTTGCTGGGGAGTCATGTCACATTATGAAGGATGAAATATTTGGTTTGCTTAAGGAGTTGGAAGGGGAGATGAGAAGAAGAGGTTATGTTCCTGATACTAGTTCTGTTTTACATGACATGGAAGAGCAAGAGAAAGTGAGGCAGCTTTTTTGGCATAGTGAGAGATTGGCTGTGGCATATGGCCTGCTCAAGTCTGTTCCTGGATCGATCATTCGTATAGTGAAAAATCTTCGCATTTGTGGAGATTGCCATACTGTTCTCAAATTCATTTGCAGTATTGTACAAAGAGAAATCATTGTGCGAGATGCCACCAGGTATCATCATTTCAAGGATGGAAGGTGTTCGTGCAACGATTTTTGGTGATTATTTGATGCAAATCTTGCCCTTGCCTCTCTATTTTTAGTTATTCAAGACTCTAAAAATGGAAAAGACTACTGCCTTCATTAGGCTGTTATAGTAGGTCTCCTTGGCTGTGCATGTCACTCTTTCAATGCATTTATAGAAAGTAAAATAGAATTTCTTGCTGCTGTTTCTGTTGTAACAAGAACATGTACAACAGGATATTTCTGGGCAGAATTATAAAGATCTTGAATTGCATCCCATCCTTATGCCGCGATTATAAGATAAACAAGAAAAGAAAAGAATGTATCGCAACTATATATTGGCCGCGATCTTGCACATGTACATCAAATTTTTTCTTTTTGTTTGAAATATCCAATAAAGTTGTCAGATTGCATTATATATTAGAATTTTCACAAGATATGTGTAGATGGTTGAAGTTGAAAGAAAAAGAAAAGCTCGATGAATCTTTGTCCAATAATCTTTTAGACGCATGTCATTTGATTGCAGGCTTGAGTGACTGTTTATACCATTTTCTCAATCTATTCTCATAGTCATACCAAATTTGAAACGAGGACCATGATGCAGCAATCAGAGACTATTTTTATAATCTTCGTTAACACAACGTTTTGAATTAATTTTCAGAGAAGCTATTAAAACAGTTTTGCGGAACACCTCAAGTGACAGTTTTATATTGGGTTTATAACAATAATAGTACCTCTTTTAAAACTATTTATCGAGAATAAAGACTTGATCACACCCCGGTGTATGGGAAATCAATTGAAAAAAGATTTTTTTAAATTGTTTAAAAATTATTTATTAAAACAATGCGAAATGAAAAACAATTTAACCAAATAATCTCAGACTTAAAAAATATTCAAAAAAAAAAAAAATTAGCAAAGAAGATTTCACCCTCTATTTTGGTAAAATTCTGATTATTGTATATTTTGGTAATATCATGTGTTTTATTTATTTATTTGAGCATTAAGGAATGGATTGAAATCTGGATCTATTGTCGACTTATACGTGCCCTTTATTATGCTTTGTTGTGCTATTTTATGTTTTAATTGAGATTATAGTTTTCATCTATTATTTGATTTTATGTTTCCCCGTCAATTTTTTTAAAACCGTGATTAAAAGAAATCTCTTAAAAACGTAAATCAAACCAAAAATTAATATTATTTAATTTTTATTTACAAATAGTCAGATTTGAATTGGGGAAAGAAAAAAAAAAAATTGTTTGTTTATTAACGATCAAACAATAGATCATCTATTTGTAGACCTAATGATTTATTTGGATTAAAGGAGGATGTAAAATGAGAGAGAAAGTAAAATAAGAGAGTAAAATATTACTATTCATTTTACCTCCTTATTTGACGCTCTTTGTTTAGTTTGAAGGGAAAATAAGAGTGGGAGTAAAATAAATTTATTTACTTAATTGCATCTTTGTTGTTTTTATTTTCCTCCCACTTTGGAGAGTAAATTGGAGGATGTAAAATAAAGATATTTTATATCCACTCCTTATTTTACCTCCTTTCCTTTCCAAACAATGTATTTTACAAATCCCAATAACTCTCACTTGTTTTACACCACTCCTTATTTTACATCCAACCAAACAAGCTCTAAAAAACTGTGTTGCTTTACCGAAAGCTGCAGACAGTGAAACGATTTAAGAACGTTTGGTTAACCATATTAGAATATAATAATAATAATAATAATAATCAAATGTATTTTCAGCAAAAGTTCATTTGATTAAACTATATTTTATCTCATTCACAACAAGCACCAAACATAACTCAAGTGTTCAAATAACAATGAGACACTCCAAGAAACACGAACTCAGTTACCCACGGTAACTCAATTTCATAATCTAAAGAAATTATCATAAAAATAACCAAATACATAATATTTAAATGCTACGAGTAAAAAAATTGCCCAATCTTGCAAGCCAATATGAACTCTTGATATTAGTAAGTACTCTTTAATTGATTATCTCTCTATTTGAGTTGGAGTTGAACTTTATCTGGTAAATATTTCATGACAAGTGATTTTGGTATTTTGTTAAGCTGAACAAAAGTACATTTTGATCCAGAACTCTCAAATGGTTCCCAAGGAAATTTTATTTTGCTCTCACCAGGTCACAGTTGAGTTGGCTACAGCATGCAGCTACATACCTTCTTGAAGAATACCCATCCGGAGAAGAGCTAGCTAAACCAGTCAACTGTATATTTTCTATGAAATTAACTTATTTGTGAGGTCTGATTAACCTGTTCCAGAGTCATCAGTGAATCTCATTGTACAAAAATCGAAGCTGATCTCTCATTTTGTACAGAGCGCCGCATCTGCCACCATAAATCTGATATCCCAGACAGTGGTTGCAATGATAAACAAGATCCAGCACACTTTCAGCATGCTTGCAAAACCTGCAAACCACAGAATTAATCATCCATCAAGGAGACAAAAGCATAATAGAGGAGAGACACAGTGTATCCCTTATTTGGTATAAAATGAATTTGAATCAGAATTATTCATTTATAAATATGATTAGAGTTTGGTTTACATGCACTGAATTCCAGGAATAAACTTGGATTTGTACGAGTAAAATGAAAAAATTGTCATTTAGACCAGACAGGGAAATGAATCACACAACTTTATGGAATTCATTTATACCAAACAGGGCCATAAGAGCAGGTGAAAATAATTTCATTATGTAAGCAGTATCTTACCTTCTGGAAAGAATCTTCATGAAATGCATCAGGTTGACCAATTATTCAGATCAATGCTACTTGCAAATTATTGGAGCCATGGACGTGCATACACCCTGTGGGTGCGAGGGAGACTGAGAAAAGGTGGGGAAGCTTACAAGTTTTTTGCACTGAATTGTACATGTACCCCATGAACCTCTTGGAATTGTTAGTTTACGGTCAATGAGACAAGATCCATAAATTTCAACTCTGAAAATGATTCCTAGATCAGAATGGAGACTGGCACAACGGGCAGGATGATTTGTGAGATGTTGAGAACCATTTATACAGGCAGGCAGCATGAAATTTGTGCTTACAAGTCCTGCATGCAAGGCGAGGAAGACTATGGTTGGTAGTGTGGATAACACTGTAACAGATGGGGCACTCTTCAATGCCTTCAAATTCCTTGTCGAAATTACTCTTCCATATTCGTATAGCTTCAGCTAAAGCACCATTCTGCATCACACAAGATAACAATCTGTTTATCCGAAGCATCACCACATTAATCATTACACTTTTAACCTCTCTCCCCTCATTCCCACACAAATTTCTAACAATTCCCCTTTGAAAAGTAAACAACATGTATCGCCATTTCTTGTTATTTTCTTGATTGAAGACCAGGCCTATGTACATTAACATAAAACAAGTAGAACGTAAAGATAAAAAGCAAAGAGATCTTGTTCTATTTCACCAGGAGTACTCACACTGGAGTTTCTAATTCAGACTTTTATCTGTAGAATCCAAAAAGAAAAGGGTATGTAGACCTTCGAGATAATCACAATAAAAGATGTTCATAATTTTTTATGTTTTTTTTGTGTAATCTATAATTCCTTATTCTGAGGTTATTCACTTAACAGCTTTCTCACTTGTTTAAAATTAAACATTTTGTGGAAATTTAGCTGTAAGCTTTTGCTTGATGGTGCGTCTTTCTTCCTCGTCATCTTTCTCCTCTATTTCTGATATTTCTAATTCATGCCTCTTTCAAATGTTTTAATTCTACTACCATGTCTTTAATAAATTGCTCAGGCACCAAATCATTCCTAACCCCCATCCATTTGCAGAACAATGCAAAGCACAAGCTTATAAAAATACTATCCTGTACCACAAATATAGCTATTTCCAACACAATAATAGAGGAAAAATATACTATCCTGTACCACAAATATAGCTATTTCCAAAACAATAATAGATGAAAAAAAAAAAAACTTAATTCATGCCTCTTTTCAAATGTTTTTAAATTCTACTACCATGTCTTTAATAAATGCTTCAGGCAACCAAATCATTCCTAACCACCCATTTCCAATTTTGACAGACAATGCAAGACAGCTATTTAATATTTATATCATGCTTACATCTAATTTTTTAGCTATTTTCCTAATCACTATATAATGATTCTTAGGAAAAATATTATTATCCTCTGACCATCATATTATAGCTATTTCCGCAAAACAATTTAATTAGATTTGAAGAAATAAAGAAAAAATTCATGTCTTCTATTCACGCTAGCAGTACCTCTAGATTCACGACACAAAACAGCACTACATTGACATCAACCACCCTTCGCCTCGCTATAATTCCTTCGCTTTAATGCCTAGGCTTCTCATTACATCAAATCCACAGGACTGATAATGGTAAGATGAGAACGCATATATACTAGATCCTCATCCTGTACCACAAATATAGCTATTTCCAAAACAATAATAGATGAAAAAAAAAAAAATGTTTTATAGTAAGTACCTGATTACGAACAAACAGCATCATTGACATCAACCACTTCCGCTGCTTCACTTCGCTAATGCCTAGGCTTCTCATACACTCAACATCCACAGGACGTAATGGATAAGATGCAGGAAGACGAATAACTAGATCCATCCCTGTGTCATCCTTAGTATATGTAGCAACTACTTCATTTGCTGATTTGCTTACACTGACTGAAAAATTTTCATCAGCAAAATTGGCTTTCTTTATCTGCATCAAGAAAATTATATCAGAACAATACTGTAATCACTATGCAGAAAATGGTAAACTTGGACATGGTTCAATTTCCTTTTTTCCTCAATTGGTATGTCAAAAATTCCAAAAAGAGAATAGCATCTATAACTATGAAAGAAAATTTTGTGTTAAAAAAAAAAATGAACCACGTAATTCCCCCAACAAGTGCTTGCATAATGGGAACTCGATTTAACAGTAGCCACGTAAATGGTTTAAATTACTCATAAATCGACCATTTTTGTATTCCAAATGTTGAGTCCAAAAAGTTCTAAATAATTCTTTAAAAATGCAAGAAAAAATTTACTCATCTCCTTTGTCTCTCCATCTTTTTTCCTTTTAAAAAGAGAAATAGAAAGAAAAAACGGTTCAATATAACACAAATTGGAAACCCAAAAAGCTCGAACTACCATCTATTGGAGAAAAGAGGTTTGTTTTCAAGAAACCAAATTACATTTTCAAACAATACATACCTGGGATAGTTCGTTCACAATTAGTTGAGGACTGCACCATGTTCTCGTAAATGTTTCAATAAGAGATGACATTGAACGGTCACGTAAATCATTAAACCAACCTCGAACATAAGCAGGAAGAACATGAAGCATTAAACCAAATAATGCTCCAGCAAGTGAAGCCATTTTCTCTGGTGCAATAGGCCACAGTGATTCCACAGAAAACAATAATGAACCTGTTGTTATGGCAGATGTTGCTGCATTTGCAGCCTCTGATGCCCCAGCAGGAAGATCCACATCTTTCTTTTTAAGACTGTGTGCTGTGCACAATTCCAAAGGAATATGCTGGAAGAGGCAATCTAATATTCCTGAATTAGCAGAATCTTGTACATACTGTACCAATTGCTCCCTTGCAGCTGACTGTGATGGTAATTTCCACAAATGTGATAGCAACAAAGACCAAGCAAGGAAGACATTTACCTGCAAATTTGAAGATACAAGGCATAAGAACCATAACTAAAATCCAACATGAATATTGAGACTATAAAAGCTGCATAGAAGCAAAGCAGAAAGGTAAACAAATTTACCCGCTGATGTGCTGTCAAATCCATTTCAAGAACATCATAAGGTAGCTTTTCAATCATGCAAGATAATTCCTCCTTCAAATGGAACTCTCTTTTGGATGTCAATTCAACCTGACATAAATCTATTTCATCAGTAATATCACCATCCCATGTACAAGTAGCACCTTCAGCAAAAGCCAATTGTGAAACAGGTTCAGTTGAGAGAATAACATAAGCAGCAAACTGCAACAGCGGGACAGGTACAGAGGAGAACAGAATTGCATACAAAGAGCTTACAGGCCCTTTGCTTAACCCCCAAAATTCAATTGATCTCACTGCTCTGTCTCTAACATGCTGTGATGAGTTAAGCACATTTGAAGCCACCAACTCCCAGAAGTAGGAATTCTCAAGCCTAGATGTGGCTATAATAGATGCAGCCTCATGAAAATAGGAATTTGCAATGGCCTCAGTAAGGCCAGTACAAAAGAATATGCGCAGAATACCCTCTAGGATTCGATCTCGAGCTGGATCCCATCTTTCCAGTCTTAGGAGGTATGTATCATTCATTTCTGGTTGTTGGAGTCTCCATGCCTCATAAAACAAAGAAAACGATTCCAAGGCATTGATAGCAACATTTATAGGAAAAAGGTCAGAGATCGAAACAAGGTGCTCTAGTTTCCTAAGAACATCCGAATAGTCACAAGTAGAGCTGTTAGTGATAGCATCATTCACATTTTCAGTAACTTCCTCCATTATCACAACTGCTGACTGAATCCACAACCTCAATTGCGAGAAGAAAAATTCCCAGTCTTCCTCAGTAAATTCTTTCCAGCAATATCCAACAGAAACAACCATTAACTTTGACAGCAACATCTGCACCATAGGTAGCTGTTTACCTACTGCCAAGACACCAGAACTCTGTCTCTGCTTTTGAAATAAATCATGTATGAGTCGTCTCTCTTCAGCACTTATATTCCTCTCCAGCTTCAAAGATTTAGTACTGCCGATTGCACTAATAGGATAACAAGCAATAACCAGTTTGAACCAGTCTTCCATATCTATAATGACGAAAGAAAAGAAACAGAAAATACATTAATAATCTTTTAATTAAAGAAGTCCAAACATATAAATCACAAAAATGAAAAGGATCACAAAAGCCCTTGAACACAGGTAGAGGGGGCATTAGATGGGAGCTCCGATTGTGTCTCTGTAATATCATGGACTAGCATGGACATCCACCAAACAGAATGTCAATAAGCAAGCTGATTGCATTTATTAATATATGACAATTTCCTAAATGTATTCAAAAATAATAGTAGACTGAAATAAAAAGGTAAAGTTGAGTTCATGAATCTAAAAGGTAAGCATATACCTTGTCCTGCTTGCAATACAACTAAAGGTGGGAATAATAATACCCTCTCGAGCCAATCTTTAACAGTGTGCTGCATCCAATTTTCACCTGAATTCTGAAGTGGAATATCCTCAGTAGATTCACCAGGTATAAGGCTTCTCTGACATAAAGGCTGTATTAGAACACTGACAATCAGAGGAAGTATCTTCAAACATTTCTGGTTTACTGCTTCACCAACATAAAGCTTATTTAAAAGCAATTCAAAGAGTTCCCTGGCTTTGTCTCCTCCCCATATATTATTTTTGAACAGAGTGAAAAGCAAAGACATAAGAGCTCTCAAAAATGGTTCTTCGATTTTGTCCAATTCATTGCCTGTAGCAGGTGTTAAATTGAATGAACAGTGTCCACCACTTTCTCCATGAACAAGTGCGCCATCAAGTAAGATGTTGAAAATGGAATCTAAAAGGCTTTCCCGGAAAAAGTAATTCCAACTCTTGGCAGATGCACTCAGAAGGGGCAAGAAAGACTCGGTAGCACTGCCTCCTGGCCATTGCCACGTGCATAATATTTCCGCAGCAAGCCAGGCTCGAGAAGTAAGACCCTTACCCGTTGCTTCATTCAAAGGAGATGAAAGGGTACTTTCTACATAACCAGTAACAACTCTATCAACCCCAAGCTTGTAAACAAGTTTGTCAATTAAAGAAACAAACTTACGAGTCCCAGAAACCTGCCATTGGGATAAATTTCAGTTCATAAATCTTGTATCAAGTCAAAATTAGACAATAATGAAAAAAAAATCACCAAATCAGCCATTAAAAACCTGATCATAATGAAATACTGAGCACAAATTTTACAACAGGAGCAACTGCAATATCTACCATGTATGCAATGACTCCTTTAAAATTAGACTGGAACTGCATGGATAAGAAAGACTATAACCACTTATCAGAAGGTTTGCTATCTAGGATTCCACTTAAAAATGAGCAAAATGCAGATCACAAGTTTTGAAGATATCAAGGTTATAATGATTATAGGCTGCAGGAAGAAAAATATACAAAATGCAATGCAGTCGGAAAATGAAAATGGATAACCCCATTAAACATCAACTGCTTTTTGCACAAAAAGCAAAATCAATTAGATCATTTTATGCATGCCTCAATGTTCCAAACACCATGAAAGAAGCAAAAATATCATTATAAGGAACTTCAAAACCAATCAATAATACCAAACGGAAATGGGGACTTCCACTTAAGACACAGAAAGGGATCATAGAGTTGGCACAATAAAGTTTTCCAGATTCTTGCTATAAGTTGAATACAGTTTCCTACTAATAGGTTAATTTAAAATGAAAAAGAAATAAACAATGCCAAGATTTTAAAAATGAAAAAAGAATTTGAAAAGAAGAATGATAAAATAAAGGGAAAGAAGGTATCATGAATTAATCATCCTAATTCCAGTAACTGAGCAACAAAATAATAAAAAATGCCACTCACATCAATATCAATAGAGACATCTACAGCATTTGACGAAGTTGTTCCTGGCGAACTCAAGTCCGGTATAATCCATGATGGCCAAATATCATCCTTCCTTAGAAGTTGGTCTAATAGATTTTGCTCCTCGCATTGATCATGGCAGAGACATGCAAGAATTTCAAGCATCCATTCGCAGCACAATGAAGTGATTCTATTTGCATTAACCCCACCTTCCTTAAAGACAACAGACTTGATAAACTGAACCAAGATACTCCCCAACCTGCTCAGAATGTCAATGCTCAGACTTCCCCAAAATTTGTCATTTATCTTACTGCGAAAATCATGCAAAGATTTACCAAACTCTGACCGGCTCTTAATTTTCTTTTTTAATTCATTGTCAAGTGCATCATCTATTGTTGCCTGTATGGTGTGTTCCCAATCCATGATAAACAATTGAGCCAAAATACAAGAAACCAGCCCAATTTCCTCACCGACTGTTTTTAAGCAATATAAACTACCACTAAGTACATCTAATGCAAAGTGAGCTATCTCAATCATGTCTGTAGAGATCTCATTATTCTCTGCAAACTTGTTTGCTCCAGCAGATAAAACACAACCCGAATCCCTAACTGTACTGAAAGGGGAATCACAAATAAAAGCAAGCAACTTTCTGGAAACTGCCTTGTATACCAAAATCATTGAATTTCTAGACACAAAAGAGATCTCATTTCCTTTTGTTGAGCCACTAAGAACAGCACTGCGAATGATATACATAAATATATCAGAGGTCACAGTAAGAAATAAGCAGAACAAGGACTAGTTAACACAAGACCTATTCACATTTGCTGCAACTAGCACCTAAGAAGTATCAGCCTAGAAATTTAGAAGATCAACCAGCTTTTACACTACTAATAATCCAGCTCAACTAAATTTTTTGTGTATACAAGTCATTATGAATAGAGAATCAGTATAAGATCTTTCTAAATGTAATTTAAATTCTTCTGTTTCCAATAAGCAATCATTGAACTAGTGCAATGGTGAAATAGGTAATGGGAAGTGATATAGATAAGGACAAACTTTAGACAGGCTAGCCATATTAGTGCTTGCAAGGAATTGAAGCAAGAATTGATGCATTACAAGCTATCTCAAACAAAATTTCAATACAAGAATAACTCTATATGTTATGTGAACTCTTGTGACTTGTGGATGCTACCCAATCAAAGATAACATCTCTATTCATATGATGTGAAACTAACATCAACTTCTCAACCAAAAAAAAAAAAAAAAAAAAAAAAAAAAAAAAAAAAAAAAAAAGTAGCACAGGTGAAAAAATACAAGGTAAAATGGAAGTGATTATTAAGATAAGGACAAAAACTTATAGAACAGAGCTAGCCAATTAGTGCTTGCAGAAAATTAAAGACAGAATATGAGAATTTGCAATTAAACAACAGCATATCTAAAACAAAAAAAAAAAGATTTTACAAATTACAAGAAATAACTTCTATGTTATAGTGAACATCTAAACAAAAAAACATGTGATTCTGGATGCTAGCCCAATCAAGCATAACACTCTCTTAATTCAGTACTGATGTGAAACTCACACTCACTTCTCAACCAAAAAAAAAAACACAAAAAAAACACAAACACAAAAAACAAAAAACAATTATTCCTATCTTAATGCCAAGTCTATACTCATTTACCTTCAATGGAAGTTAAGCGATCTTCAGCATGATTCAACCCTATATAATTAAAGCCAATAATGGCAAAACACAATTCACAGTACCACACAACTGAGTTACTCGAAGGTCGAGAAAGGAACAGTGGCGAACTGGCAACAGGCAACTACAGATGAATTCAAGAAGCTAATGATGCAGTAACATGGGTTGAGACCACTGACGATGTTTTGAAGGCTTGCCACCCACTTTCCACCTCGTTCTCGTATCTTGCACATCTACTCGCTTTCCCAAGAACATTGTCGTACAGAGATAAGTTAGTTTAGCTTTTAGGGACCAAGCTTCGTGTTATTGATCTTTGCTTTGACTGATTTTTGCATATGATAAGTTTAATTTTTGCTATGTTCCACTTGCTCAGAAAAAAAAAAAAAAAAAAAAAAAAAAAAAAAAAAAAAAAAAAAATAATGCCTATCTGTAATGCAGTCTATAACTCATTTACTTCAATGGAAGTTAAGATCTCCAGCACTAGATTCAACTGTATAATAAAGCAATAAATGCAAAACACCAATTCACATACCACACAAACTGAGCTGCTGAAGCTCGAAGGGGAACAGAGGAACTGGCAACAGCAACTACAGCTGATTCAAGAAGCTCATGATGCCAGTCACCTGGGTTGGACCACTGCCGATGTTTTGAAGCTTGCCCCACTTTACTGTTTGTAATCTCAATTCTCGCTTTCTCCAAGAACATTGTCAACAGAGATAAGTAGTCTGATTTTAGGGACCCAAGCTCAGTTATTGACTTTGCTTGACTGATTGCATATGAAAGAATTGCAGTCCACTGCTCAGAGAAATGTTCATCATCCAGAAATGCAAGCAACAGATCAATTCGAGCATTGCTAGAGGAATCGCATCCAACAAAACACCATGGAACAAATGTTTCTTTGAACACTTGCATGAAATACTCTGGTTCTAGTTCTTTTTCATTGTCATCTGAAAGGGGAAAAGAGCAATGCCCTTCGTTATAGAAAAAAAGTTCCTTGACAATCTTGCGTGGTCCAAATAATGAAACAGCAACTGATAAAAGTCTCAAACCATCCGGCGAGTCCTGAAATCAGAACATACTCAAGACTAAAGAATGAATACGTATGAAAAACAATAGTGCAACAGAAGATTGGAAGAATGGAAGCCGCAAAGCACCACAAAAACATTACAAGGACCATGAAAGACTCAAAAAGCAGAGATACAAAGCAAAAGTCCAGATCTACTCTGTCACCCATAATCCCAAATTACTCAGAACTGACTAAAGGTATCCATTTTCTCCTTCCTATATCCCATCCTGTTTAGTGTCAAACTTTACATGAGCTATTGGATACCAAATCTTCTACTCAAATTCCAGCCGATACAAAAGATCAATTGTCTCTTCATTCAAAATTCATAAACTACTTACATGACTTTATAGAAGCTCCAATCATTTCACAAAGTAAAATACACTAATGAAATTAGAAGCCCCTCCCTTGTTTGAATGTAAAGAAAATATATTTGAGAAGCTATTTAAAATTCTTAGACAGAAGAATTTAATCAATGAAGTCTGTTAGGAGGTTAACACAAATCCAAATCCAGGCAAACACAAAGCAAGAAACAAAAATGCAAGATATATGGGAAATGGTAATTGAGATATAAGAAATCAACAAGCTCACTAATTCTTGCTAATGTCATGTTTAAGAAATAGTAACTTACAAGAGATCTTATAGATGGGAAACACTTTGCTAACATTGGTCCCACTAAATAAACTAAAGGCCAAGTTTCATCTTTCCGAACTGAATGCTCTTCAAGCAACAACATAAATTTAATGACCTGTTCTACATTTTCAGTATTTCTTCCTGTGCTGTCTTTAAGCTGAAACATCTTGAGGCAATTCTCCTGAAATGCCACACAAAAGGTAGAGAGCAGATCACGTTCTATTAAATAAATTCCTGAAAGAATTTCTACAATGCATTTCCCTGATTCTTGCAAATAGTTCATAGGATACTTGATAGTCAATAATTCTGCTGTCCTCTGGTTAGATATTGCACAGGTTTTCTCAGACAGGTCCTCAGATATTCCATTGGATGCACTACTCTGATTCTTGAAGCAAACAGAAAACAGGTATTCTTGCCACAGAAGCTTTACGAGGATATTATCAACAAGAGCGACTCTAAAATGTCGTACAGAATCCAAACTATCACAATATCTGGCATTAAAGGAAAAGGTAAATTAGAAACCCTAACACTAGACTAAATTAAGAGGGTATTTGGTCTAGCTACTTTTAATTTGAAATGCATTTTTAACTTATAACTGAATTTAAAAAAGTAGTCAAGTATTTGGTAAAACCACTTAAAATTTATTTTTAATTAGTTTAAGAGTTTGGTTCACAAGCAATTGAAAGTAATTTAATATGTTAAAATGAGGAAAAAGGGTATATCAATTAAATAAGAAGTTTACAAATTTGTTTAAACAGAGAATAGTGTTGGTATTTTTAAAAGTTATTAGGATAATATAGAATTTTATGTGGTCAATGAATAGTTTTAAAAAAAGTTGATAATCAGAAGGGGTACCTCAGGTCCTCACTTATGACTTTTGACTTATTAAAGTTTTTTTTTTTTAGCATATAAGCCAAACCAAACACCATTCAGTTTATGACTTTCACTCAAAAGAAGTTTGACCGACCTATAAGCCAAAACAAACGCCCTCTAAGTACAGAAGAAAAGGATGAAACAATAACCCCTCTACTACTACACAAGTGATTGGATACATCAGAAGCTTGGAATGTCATGTCAAGAGAACAACTGGACAAAATCTCACCTTGACGCATTATGCAATGCCCAAAAGAAACACTCTTTAAATGCCCGGAAAAATGCTAGATTATCAGCAGTTGTTGAAGAGGACAAGGTCCTTCCGTCCCATAGGTTATGGAAAAAATCAAGAAAAAACTTCTCCCCCACTATAGATTTAGGAGGCACAGTTCCCAAAAATAGAACTAGAGCCGGATAAGAGACTTGTTGAGATCCAAAGCACCCATTCTTAAGAAAATGCCACAACCTGTTCAGCACAATTTTCTGAACATTTAACAATGTCCAACTCTCAGGAAATCTTTTTGAAAATAGCAACAATGCATCCCACATTGACAAATGACAAGTAGGATCCTTTTCCTGAAAAGCGCCAAGTATTGCAGTACCAAGAGTTTTCATGTTTCCCTCATCAAAAGCATGAGGAATGTTTTTAATGAAACTCTTCAATGCTGAATATGTAGCTGACCGAATTGCAGGACTCTGGGACTTCAAAAATTCCAGAAAATATTTGTTAGCAGAGAATAACTTTTCAGCAAAAGAAATGGCAGTCGCTCTGGCCTTTGAAGCATGTTTTGATTCAGTGGCTACATTTTCAAAACCAGGTCGTTCAGATTGCACACTGACCAAAACATCAAGAAGTGTAGCCAATGCCAACAATGAAGATGATATCACCTGAAAACCAAGAAAAGATTACAAAAAATTCACCAGAAATAACAACTGCACACCTTGCAAATCTGAGCAATTAAATATACTGAGCTTTATATTAGACCAGTTACAACCCAAACTAGTTCCAGTGCAAATCAATCAAAAAATCCTGTTGAATCACAAATCTCTAGTGCTGCAGCCTAAGAAAAATCTTTCAAGAAGAAACCTAAATCTCAATAAATTTTGTGAATTTCTTTAAAGAATTTCAAAAGACCAACCCAAAATTGCAGATGACAGTAAGTTGGGATATTTAGGACAAAGAAAACAAGACTTTGGAAGAATTTTTTGCTCTGCTTTATACTCCCTTCAACAGCAATCTTGGAAAAGTTACACATTCAAACACTGGGACTCTCTTCTAACAGTACATACAGATAAAAGTATGAAAAACTGAAAGCTGGTCAACACTAGACTTTCTAACGAATATCTTCTATTCAAAGACGAGAAATAAGTCTGGGTATTCTAAGGTTGTCCAAAAAATTTTAATCAAGATAATGATTTTGGAGTTTATTTGACTAGGGCATGGTTTATGTTCTTTTACTTTCTCTCCTTTCACACCTCCAGTTGCATAAGGCAGATTCAAGTAGCAATGATAGAAAAAGAAAATGAGCAACAAGACTCATGAGTTTTTGGGAAAATAAGAAATTCGTTTCATCAATTTCATTAGAGTAATTAGCATACTTTTTAATAGCTTACTTGGAATAAAGGAATTCCATGACCCGGCATTTGGATTCATGAATTTGGTTTTTAAATTTAGGAATGCATATACTGAAAGGTTCATGAATTTGGATTTAAAATTTAGGAATCCAAATATTGAATTTTAAATCCTAAATTCATAAAAATTGAATGTCATTTGATTCAATTTGGCCAAGAATTATTAAATCCACAATTTGAAACCTCCATATGTTCTAATGGATTTCACACAAATTCAAATCCATAAACATTTAACAAATCCAAACAACCAACCTCACCCAACTTCAAATCTAAATACAACATGAAATTCTATGTTGGCTTCAAAATTTACTCTAATGAACTACTTGGAGGTTGCTAAAAAAGGGGAAGAGGTCAACCTAGAACTACTTGGAGGAAAGTTGTTGCTAAGGATCTACGGTCATTGGATATTAGTGAGAATATAGCTATGAACAGAATTGAATAGAGGCAACAGATTCATGTAATAGACCTAGTTAGTTCTTGTTCCCTCATGCATTGTCCTATTTATTAATATATCAAATGATTTTAAAATTCCCCTTCAAAAATTTTTACAAAAAATATTTCAATTTATTTCTGACTTACAGTTTGCTTTGCATGGATATTAACTTAATTAGAGTGGGTATTTAAAACAAAAAATTCATATAGCGAACCTCAACTAGTTTGGGACTAAGACTTAGTTAGTGCAGTTGATTGGAGGGTAGCTATGGTTTAACACTGAAGTTACTCCCTTGTGGCCTGGACGTCCTAAGTTCGAGCCACAAAACATCCTCTCTAAAAAAGCAGGGGAAGGTTGCGTACATCAACCATTCTCCAGAGCCCACAAACGTGAGATTCTTCATGCACTAAGTTACCCTTCTATAAAATTAGTTCTACCAATTTTGGTAGAATTTGCAAATACATACATACATGCATATATATAAATACTTATATGTGTATATATTCATGCACTAAGTTACCCTTCTATAAAAATTAGTTCTAACCAATTTTTGGCTTAGAATTTGCAAAATAACATACATACATTTCATATATATTTAAATACTATATTGTGTTATATATATATATATATATATATATATAGGAAAATTTATAGTTGTCCCAACTCTGTCCTGGCCACAGCTTTTTCACTATAGCATGGCAAAATGTCTAAAATTGTCTATATTGCTAGAAAAAAATCCGCTGCATGAACATGTTGAGGGCATTTTAGACTTTTTGCCCCACTACAGTGAGTCAGGCAAACCCAATTTGGGTCATTATAGCACAACGATATATATATATATATATATATATAAAGAATTAAAAAATAACAAAATAAATAAAATCCAAATATATAAGAATTAAAAATAACAAATAAATAAATCCAAGTCCAAACTAAAAAGGCTACAAATTTTATGACTAAATTGAGATAACAAAATGAGAATTTATTCAAAAATGATTTCTGCCTATGTTATTCATCTAAAGTTAAATGAATTACACAATTATTTGTTTCAAACATAATGTACAGTCTCAGGTTTTATTTTTAGCGCAATAGAAGAACCAACAAACTCCATCACTTTCAGCATACATGATACTGACTAATGCAAAACAAACCATGATGACAAAATCTACTGATGGAAAAAAAATGGAACATCATACAGAAATAAAGATGAAGATTGTTAAGCCTTGGTCAGGCAAAATTTAATACCATACCCACAAACACATACACATGTTTGCAGGCTTGTATGCTCAAATCAGGCCCTGAGAATTTATTAACCAATGACTGGCCTTGGATCAGGCAGGCCTGAATAAAACCCAAGAAAAAACCCATTTCCCCATCCTGTTTTGCAGGCTGGCCTTGGCAGTCCTGGTCCAAATACAGGTCAATACACCAGTTTCCATTTCAAACCAAAGAGAAGGATAAGCGTACAACATGGTAATACCTGCTGGTGCATCTCTTCCAACTCATCCAAAGCAGTTGCTTTATCTGACATACTTTGTGGTGTGAGCTTCAAATTTTCCTCCAAATACAGAAATATTTCAGTTGTGCATAAAATTAATGCTTCTAATCTCTTTTCCTGAGCTGGAAAGGCTGCCTGTTGTACATAACATATAATATTATTATAACTAAAACAACAAATAGGAAAAATTTTCAAATTATTAATACTCTAATTAAAGAAAACAAACAACGGAAGCAGAAAGTTAATGAAAATTTTAGAAACGCTTTAAAAACAATGGTATTTCTACACAAGGAAATTACTAAAATATCTTGTATTTTCTGTTCAAGTTAAACTATGCATCCCATCCTTTCAAAACGGTTGGCAACATGAGCATGACAGGGTTAAGTTGCTTTTAGATAAGCACGAGAAAAAGCCTGCTTAGCCCTCAAATATAAGGAAACCATTTAACAACCCCTACTCCTCCCCCCCCCCCCCCCCCTCCCCCCGCCCCCCAAAAAAAAAAAAAAAAAATCAGATTCTCTGCACCTATTGGACCACAGATGCCCAATTTAATTGGGGCTCAATTTTAAACACCTAATGATTTTACAAGATATCTTAACATGCAGAAAATGGGTGACGTTCATTGCATGTTTTTCTCCTTGATATTATGAAATTCAGATGCTTGTAAGAAAGTGGGAGTGGGAGATGGCAGCTGAAGTAGACCTCCAGTGAAAACCTTGATCTAACTCATCATTGTTGACAGGAAGTAGGGTCTTCTTTTGGTCCAATCAATTGTTGGCACCCAAATAGCTTAAGCAAGATATGTCCACTTTCGGCCGCCCCCCCCCCAAAAAAAAAAAAAAAAAATCAGATTTCTGCACCTATTGGGAGCCACAGATGACCCAATTTATTGGGGCTCAATTTTACACCTAATGATTTTACAAGATATCTTAACATGCAGAAAATGGGTGACGTTCATTGCATGTTTTTCTCTTGATATTATGAAAATTCAGATGCTTGTAAGAAGTGGAGTGGGCAGATGGCAGCCTAGAAGTATGCCTCCAGTGAAAACCTTGATTCCTACTCATCATTGTTGACAGGAGTAGGTCTTCTTTTGGTCATCAATTGTGGCATCCCATAGCTTAGCAAGATATTGTCCACTTTAGGCCGAACCAACTCAGGCCTACACAACTTTGTTCTTGGGCTAAAACCAACTCAATAGCCCAAAAAGTCTCTTGCTAGTCTAAAGCTTGCCCATTCTTATGTACTTCACTTACACCTTATGCTTAGCTGATGTGAGACTCACCTAGGGTGTCATAGTCCACCCCCCCTTAGGGACTCGCGTCCTCGTTGAGGTTTGACCCACCACCAGCCAGAGGGGCAAGGCTTGGCTTTGATACCAAGTCTGTGGCATCCCATAGCCTAGCAAGATTCCACTTTGGGCCAAACCAACTCAGGCATGCACGGCTTTGTTCCTGGACTAGAACCAACACAATAGCCCAAAAGGCCTCTTGCTAGTCTAGGACTTGCCTATTCTTATGTACTTCACTTACATCTTGTACTTAGCTGATGTGGGATTCGCCTAGGATGTCACATCAATGGTTACAGTAACATGCTGAAGGGACTTAAAAAGAGAGAGAGAGAGAGAGAGAGAGAGAGAGAGACTACTTAGATACTTAATGGGCTTAAATGTCACATAAGAACCCATGATATGCCATCTATTTTGTTTCCGTTACTAGTGACCTTTCTTTTATCGGGAGTTTCAAGTGTTAAGAAACCAAATTGAGTGATCCAAAATTTCACAGGTCAGTTTGCTCTAACCTTTGGCTTGGTTTAGCTCTTCAATAGTTGATATTGATTATCACTCCTTATTAGTAAAATACTCTTCAATTATCATTATCAGTTCATCTTTGTCAAACAATTAATGCTCTGCAAAGGTTTTCCTATTACACAAACTAGCAAGCTACTTCCAAACCTATTGTATAGTCTAACTTTCCCAATTTTTCTGGAAATATTTTCAAAACCTATTCAATTGAGTCATTCAAAAGTGGAAATCTCATCAATTAATATCCCATCAACTGCGACCCATTTAAAAAACAATATTAATTATAACCAATTTGAATGAATTAGTGAACATTGATTAAGCACTCCTACGGAATAATAGCAAACAGTTTAATTGGAATTGGTGTTTCACATGTTACATTGGTCATTACTTAAAAGATGGGGCTAAAGAAGGTGGCAGAAAGGGTGATTTCAGATTCTGTCAAAAGACTCAACACAATAGCTATCTTCTTCCTGTGTAGTGTTTTGTGATTAAGGAAAAGGATCGGGAATTATGACTTATGGGATGAGATATCCTCCTAACCTACAAGATATAAAAAGAAACAAAAAATAAAAAATTAGTGTCCTCAAATCACACTGAAACAGACCTTAACAAAAGCAGGTGAAGTAGAAGCTCATGGTCACAAAGAAGCCAAGAAAACCAGCTAGCTAGTGCCCTAGCATATTAAAAATAAAAAAAAAAGCCTAGCATTTCAGAATGTGGGCATTTCTCACCATCCAAATGGTACACAAAACCACAAAGAAAATGCAGTTCAAAATCACTTTGGCATTCCTTCTATTACCAAAGCCTCTCAATTATAACACAACAAAGATATCTAGAAAAAAACTGATTCTCCACAAGGAGTCAAAAAAGATTGTTTCAAATGCCCCAAGAAACTTGACAATAGTCAATATGAGAAGAAGAGAGTATAAGTCAATCAAGAAGTAAACCAGGAAAGAAAGCCTAAACTGCCACTCCTACTCCCAGTAGTGACTCCCCATGCTTATAAGTATGGGTTCAGACTTGGCTCAATACCTTAGCACTTCTCTTTTCCATTTCATACAACAGGGACATTCTGTTATTTACAAATGAAATCTTATATTTATTACCATCTGCATTAAACTTTTTATTACGACACAATCTAATACTTACAGGTATCTACAGTTTCAGACCTATTATAACGGAAGGAAAACAACTAATAGATCAAAATAAGTGACATCAAACCTGCAGCGATCGCTTTGCAGCTAGAGAAACTTCAGAAACTGGATCAAATTGAGAAAACCACCAGGGTCCCATCAAAGACTTTAGATGTGGGGCTAAGTCTCTTCTGTAAACACACAAGTTGTTCCACAAACAAATTATTAGCTCATACATGTTTTGAGAGCCGAGGAAAACATATGTGAATCATGCTAAAATGGAATAAAACAGAACAAAGGCATGCAACAGTTTTTGTCAGTTTACATCCAAGGCACATGAAGCACAGAGTTTTCTTCATTCATATTTCGGTATAGGAGGTAGCATACAGAAAGACAGAACAACCAAATTGCATTTGTTAGTATCTCAAATGTAACAAATGTTCATACCCGACAACAACAACAAGGCTACTCATAGTTTCATGAGTAGATCGCCGAACTTCCCTATTGTAATCCAACAACAGCCTCTTGTATTCAAATGCCTAACAGCAATAAAAAATTGCCAAATTTCAGACTAAAGAGAAATATCAAAAGCTAAATAAAAATTACAAGAAGCAAAAACAAACAGTGCGTAAGAACACAAAGATCACATAAAAAATGTGGAATCAGTAACTACCATCGTTGTATTTCTAAAAATGTGAGCTGAATCATACGATCATATACAGTTTTACAAGTTATCACACACCAACAAATCAAAACATGCATAAACTCTGAATCAAATAGAATTGGGTTAACATCTCGTGTCTAATAATAAAATCAACACAAGTTTACGAATTTATGATAAAATCTTATGGTTTTATAATGTATCTATTCTAATAATTATAATTTGTAATATTATTCTTATTGTATTATGAAAATTGTATCATTTTTTATTTTGTTTCCATTATAAATATTAAGCTTTAAAAATTAAACTTAGTTACTTATATGTTTACTTAATTATAATTATTATTTAGAATTTGATGTATGTAAATGCGTAACGTATTCCCTATTTAAATATATATTACTTTTTCTTTATTATGATTCAATTTTATGGACTATCCACCAATTCTAGCTAAAAAAACGATTTTGACTACCTTGAGTCCTCGACTACTATTCAACATTCCATACAGATAGTTACAGATCAATAACTATATGAGATTTATATATATAAATATCCAACACCACCAGTATAGCTACAAGTTTTCTTGATTATAACTTCTGAAAGTTAACAAATTTAAATTAAGTAGAGTAATTATAATTATAATTAGACAGAGGTACACATTGTTTATGGACAACAAAGGATTTTTCTTTGGCGACAATTTAACCTTATTTTTTTATCACTTCAATCTCACAGGAAAAGAAGGAAAAGAAATAGATAAAATAGAATTTAAATAAAAAAATTAAAAGAACTGGATGCAATAATAATTAAATAAATATCACATAACAGGTGACTAAGTATCAGCAAACAGGGTTGCATAATGATTCTTTCAAGATGCGTAAACATAATTCTCCTTATACTGCCACCGAACACACACACCCTCGGGCAGCGCCCACAGGGCAGTGGGTGGTTGATTGGGGCCAGGCCACAGATTGCTTCACTTTCTTCCTCTTCTACTATAACTCCTAATTTTACAATAACCTAAGCAAATGCATCAATCATAGCATATCCATAGCAGTTTCTAGGTTGAAACTAATTATGCAGGTGGACAGGGAAAGGACAGATAACAAAAAAAGTTAAAGCATTGCTTTTATTTCTGCTTATTCGAAAAGAAAGGAGATGAACTACATTTTAAAAAAACAACTGAGCAAATAAACTACATTATTAGATAGCATGTTGATAATATCCACTCAAAGAGCAGAGAGAGAGAGAGAGAGAGAGAGAGAGAGAGAGAGAGAGAGAGTGAGAGGCATACCCATTGAGGAATAACTAGCACCAATTCCTTTCCAGACTTCTGCTTGAAAAGAACAGACAAAGACTGCAGAGCTTTAAGCTGTTAAAGAATTAAAAGAGAATTAGACTGTACTGCAAGAAATTATATGCCAATTTAGTTCAAATCCAGCATCCACAATGATAAATGCTCATGTGTGCTTCTGCACATGTATATACATCTACTCATACAAATATAAATATTTTCATCATATACTTTCGGTGATTATCATTATGCCGGCCACCCCCCCCCCCCCAAAAAAACAGAAGCTTTAAGCTTTTTAAAAGAATTAAAAGAGAATTAAGACTGTACTGCAGATTATATGCATTTAGTTCAAATCCCAGTATCCCAATGATAAAGTGCTCCATCGTCGCTGCTCTGCCTTGCCACATGTATATACCATCTAACTCATACAAATATAATTTTTCATCAATATACTTTCGGTGATTATCATTAGCCGGCCACCCCCGTCCCCAAAAAAAGCCCCCCCAAAAAAAGGAACTTTGCTGGGACCATGCACTTTCACATTTAAGTAATAACTTCGCCCCTCACCAAAATAAAATGTAAAAGATACTGGGTCGTGATTGAACTCCATACCCTGCACTTTCACGTTTAAGTAATAACTTCGCCCCTCGCCAAAATAAAATGTAAAAATAAAGGCCATGATTGAACTCCATAGTTATTGCCAAATATGAAAATGCAGGGCCATGATTGAACTCCATTGGCCAAAGTTCAGGGTTAAATTTATGCATTACGCCAAATACTTTTCTGTGTGTATAAATTACCTTGGTCACAGGATCTTTCCTAGCCAGCCTCTTCAAGTGTAGTGCCACTTCACTGTCTACATCCTGCAACACCAACGAGTAATTGCACAGGTATCAAATCTTATAGATACCATTTGTATTATAACAATCCCCAAACTCCTCCTAACTATACCACAAATCTCAAACCACAAAGACTAACAGAGCCAACGCCAAAAAGCTATGTACTGAAAGTAAAAAACCAAACAGAAAGAAGAGAGCGCGAGTTATACCAAAAAGGGGCTCGCTTCTTCGCTAGAAGCAAGAGAAATATCAAGGCGTGAGCTGCCAACATAACCACCAAATCCAACGGTGGCGGCAGAACTCGACGACGGCAATAACGAAGCGGCGAGACTGGAATGAAATCCAAAATCATCATTAATAAATAAATATCGATTTTTGTGATGAAACATACATAAATTGTAAAACTTATAAAAAGTTTTGGGCAAAATTGAGTACCTGCTGCTTGATGGACGCGACTTGCTCCTGCCGGATTCTCCTTTCTGCCTCCCCATATAGCTGCTGCGTTTACTAGGGATATGTAACGGAGGAGAAGGGTTTAATAGTTGTTAGAGGTGAATTGCTGGAAAGCTCTTTAAGCTTTGTAGTGCTCTGTTGTGCAAGAAAGGGTTTTCCTGCCCCTTACTCGAAGAAGACCAAGAATACTTGCATGATGAGAGACATTTTTTTTTCTTTTTACTTTTAGAAAAATTAATTATTTAGTGCTTAATGTTTGATAAAATTATTTAAATTGTCTCCACCTCTTAGACGAATATCTAAAAGCTCCATGATGTTTTAATAATAAATTTAAATTTAATTAATTGTATATATCATATATGATTTCTAATTGTATTTAAATGTTAATCTTTAATAAAATTATATTTTATTTTAATATCGAGACATTATTTTTTTAATTTTTAATATTAAATATAAATATTAGTCAAAAATCAATAAATGAGTTCAATTATTAGTTGTTTATTATTATAATTTAATTATAGTATTGAGATTGTAATTAAGTTCAAATATTAGTTTTTTAATAATAAATTATAAAATATTAATTAATAAATTATAAAATATTAATCATTAACAATTTTTTTTAATAATAAATTATAAAATATTAATCATTAACGAGTATTTGTAATTGAGTTAATAAGTTTAAATATTAGTTTTTAACAGCTTAATACGTACTTTTCACAGAAAATTTTATGTTATCATTAACTTTTAATTAGACCCATTAAATATTTTAACTTATAAAATTAAACTTGTTAAACACTTTATTTAATTCATTGAACACCTCAATTTGTAAAATTATATCAATTAAACACCTATTAAATAATTAAAAAATATAAAAACTATAGTTCCAAAAGTAACCACATGTCAAATTAATATTATAAAAAAGTCAAAATTTTAAAATTTATTCTTTTAGTATAAGGAGGTGTGCAATTACTAATTTCTTCGAATATATATTACATCGAATATATATTACACGTAGTTTGTATTCGTTGGTTTTTATTTGTTGCAAGTAAATAAATTTAATTTATAAATAATTTTCTATTATTATAAATTATAAGATTATGAACTGTTTATATTATTAAAACAACAGAATAAAAATAATAATAAATTTTCTCAAACCGTTGATTAACATGGCTTAGCTGATTACATTTTCAATTTATATTATTATATATTATAGATCGATAACTATTTTACCTTCATTATATATATTCATAATATCTAATATATATAATAATGGATTTATTCTTTTAAGCATCAAATTTATATTCGAGTATTTTCTTCTTCTTTAAATCTCTGTTTAACCATTTTTTTTACCCTATTCCAATTTCCTGCTGTATTCAGAATTGCCAGTTGTTATGACACTCTTATATATATATATATATATATGAATTATTTTTTATAGCATCATTTATAATTTGAGTATTTTTCATTTAAATCTTTTTTACTTTTTGCTAAAGCCTGTAACTATCTAATTAGTTTTATGATTTATGGTTGTCTTTTTTTACCTTTCGACGTATTAAATGGTTCACTAACGTAACGTATTTTATCATAATTTTATAATATGTACAATGAGTTATTATTTAATGTTAGATTTAGTCAAATAGTTAATTAAATGTAAAATTTACAATCAAAATCATAGTTCTTACAATATTTTACTTAATATAATATATAATTTATAGGATTTTGGTATGTTCAACTATTTATTTTCTGAAATTCAGAATTTGAATGTTAGAGAATGTAATATTTATTTTCTAAAATAAAATATAAAAACAAATAGATAATAGAATATAATATGTATTTTAAAAGTAACAAATATTATTTTCTTTAAAAATCCATTGGTATCACAAACACTCTAATACTTTATTTTTTTTTGTGAGTATCATCATGTTGAATATTAGTTTGGTCTTTCATATCATTGGTATCTCCTATAAAATTATTTTAAATATAATTATTAAGCCAATAAGAATATTTTCTTGATAGAAAAATAAAAAATTATTGATAGCAAAAATAAATAAATCTGTGATAGCCAAGAATAATTAAAATTATATAAAGAATATTTTCTTGATTGAGAGCAAATAAATAAATTATTGATAGCAAAAATAAATAAATCTGTGACTAAGCAAGAATAATTTAACCAAATTATTATATATACTTACTATTATCATATATTTAGTATCATATATATATATATAGAGAGAGAGAGAGAAGAGAGAGAGAGAGCAGAGAGGAGCAGAGAGAGAGCAAGAGGGACGAGACTGAGAACTAGTGATGAACAGCCGGGACATCCATCCCCTTAGGCGCCCAGCCCCCCGGAACCCAAATTCGGATCCTCAAATATCATAAAGTAAGAACAGCAAAACTAACGCACATCAAAGTCACAACAAAATATTGGACTGTGTTTGTAGTACATATTGTTCACTCAATAATCTCTTTCAGAATTCTTCAAGTCACCCTTACAGTCTTCTTACTGATGATGACCTTTAAATTGATTCTGTTTGAATTCTTATTTTTGCCTGACGTGCTGTTGAGCAAGATAAGGGGACCCACATAAACAATGAGCCCTACGTCCGTTTTTTTTGAGAGTTTCTATTTGAACGACCTCGAAAAATTTAAATTTTCGTAGAATTTTCATTTCCAAAAACTAGATTTTATTTCTCAACCAATGCAGATGATACCAGCTAGTATTTTTATTATTGCTAAACTGGACCCGTTAAAACCAATTCGATCTTTTTCAAAACCAACGCGAAAGACTCGAAAACCAAGCAAAACTTGAGCCAAATTTCATATAATGTAGGACCAATACCGGTTCGATCGATACCGGAATCGGTTCTAGAAGCTTTCAGAATTTCTCACTTCTTCTTTTCCTTTTTCTTGTTTCTTTTTTCCGTTTCTTTTGAGGGAGCACTGCGTCGACCTCACCCTCTTGCCGTTCTCCTTCCCTTCTCGTTTTTCCGATCATCCAGGATCGACTAGCGCCTCCTTCGCGCGCTCTCTTGTCGTTGTCCGTCGCTCTCATCCACTAGCTTCCGGCCCTTGCTCATTTCCTCTCTTTCCCCTCCCTCTTTCTCATATCTCTTTCGTCGTTTTTATAGGCTGAACGGCAGCAACTGTTTATGGTGGGAGATCTCGTATCTGGAAATCGCGTTCGCAACTCACTCTCTCGATCTTTCCGGCGACTCTCAAGCTCTTTCGCGTGACTCTCCAGCTTCGTCTCGTTCGACGGCCGAAGTTCTTATTCCTCATTACCTGCGCGCTCTCTCTCCCTTTCCGGCTCTCACTAGTGCGCAGCAATCTAGCTCAGATGCGCCGATTCATGGCTTGCCGATTGCCGCTCATCCCTCCACTTTTTTGCTCCCTCCAGTCAAGCCTATTGCTGCGCGTGGCTCTTGGCTTTTCGAAGTTTCACTTCCGGTCACTTTAACCGGAATAATATTCTCAGGTCTCTTTCAGTCCGCGCTTTTTAGCTGACGGTAAGTCGCAATTCACCCTTCTAATAACACTTTAAAATTCTTTGACCACAAGAGTATAGGATTTGATGCATACAATCTTCAAGTTGCGGTAGACGTTTAAATCCCTAAATTAGCTACTGATTTAAGTGTAAATATTAGAAGCTTTGATTTTACCTATTTTAAGTTGACATTACTCAAACTGACTTCATCCGACTAACTTAAATGGTTAGGTTATTATTCTTCTCATTATAAATTTTCTATGAAACAGTTGCAGCATTTGTTAGATTCCAGTAGCCAGTTTAGCTCATTGCTTGATTTTCTTATTTCATTTTTAATCGACATCTATAAAACTGCAAGTTCTTTCACCTTATATGAACTCCAAATTTCATTTTTCAAGTTTCAACAGCACGTATTTTGGCGAGATAGAAAATTCGAAACTTGGATGGCAGTGACTCATTTCAGCCATCTCTTGCGCGCTTGCGTTTTTGTCCTTGAAGCTACTTGCACAATTAAGGTTGTTTGTTAAGTTTAAATTTTGACTGGAACACTGAGTTAGTTTTGTTCTACTATTTATATTAGTTTAACGTCAAGTAGAAGCCTATTTCTCTTTGTGTGATGGCTAGAAGCCTATTCAGGTAACGGCGGTGCGCCTTTTAAGATTATACTAACTGTATGATGAATATATATTCTCTATACTATAATTACTATACTAATTATATCGTTACTATCTACACTACCTATACGTAGTACCTATATACCTATCATATATACATTATTATTATATATAGTTAACTATATATATTATACTATATATTATTACCCAACAAAAAACCAAAAGATATTTCACAATGGACAAAAGACTAGACTAAAAGACTTAAAAGACTAGGACTAATGCTGTTTATTTTTACTTCGTATATTAAAATTTAAGGACTTAAAGACTGTACAAAAGACTAAAGAATAATAATTAGACTTATGACTGAAAAGCACTAATGACTTGCTTTTAAGACTAAAGACTGTTATACTTTTAATTTTTTATTTTTCTTCGTGGTATCTTGACATATCCATCCAAAACAAAGATAAGAGGGACTATATGAATTACATAAGTTCATTATATATATAGGGAGAGCTAAGATTATTACTAGGATTATTAAAATAAATCATGATACCAATACTTTAAAGTAATAAATGTATAACTGTTGTAACTAAAATACTATTGTGATTTAACTTGTGTTTATCATGAATTATCTTATATAATTACAGTTAAGTATGATTTTACTTCAGAATATTAATCATTACGAGGTTTAAACAATATTTCTGATGTGGCAGAAAATCAACTAAGCTGCCATCCAAGAGCATACTTATGTGACAAATTTAATCCAACTCAATTTAAGCACCACCAAAGGTTATAGTGGTTCCTGCAACCTCTAACCTGGATCCAGGAGATTAAGTCAGATTGTGTGAGCGGAGAAGAGAAAAAGGTGCCTCGCTAAACACCTGCATCTTATATTCCCGCTAGCCAGTTAATATAAACAATATAACACTCATTTATTTATAAAATATAACATACAAGATTTAAAAACTTACAAGAGTTTTTAGATTTAGACTTTTCTCCAACTTTGAACGCTTACAGCTTGAACTAGGAAGTGAAGTAAGGTGAGGAGAGGGGATTATGGTTTAATTTAACTAATAACTAAACTTACTTGCCCTTCTACAAGAG